GTTTCTGTGTGTTTGAGCAAATTACCGTAAAGCTGGCTAAAGAAAAGACACGAAAAAATCAATTTCCCAACACGGAGTTTCCTTGGTTCTCTCTCTAATTTGCGCTTAGTGCGTTTTCGTGTCCTGCAGCTGTCAGAGAGAATGGCAGGAATTAAAGCCGTAAGTCGTAAGGACACCAATCCAATCCAACCCAAACCCAAACCCATCTAAACCGAAACCGAGCAAACCAGTCATTGGGAAAGTTTAAGGGACTCGCAAACCAAAACCAAAATCCCATCAAAACCTATCAAAATCGTTTACGCAAATCGCAAGACTCGCAGTAGCAAGCTTCTAATGGAGGCAAGCCCAATCCCAGCGACTTGCCACTATCTCGTCCTCGCTCCGAAAGCTAAAAGCTGAAAATCCAATAAGGGATGAGCGACTGCCAGCAGCTTGGCGAAAGTTTATTAAAAAACAAAAAAATAAATAAATAAAGAGGCAAGCGAAAACGAAAACGAAAACACTTCGCACCCGAAGTGGCGCCAACTGACAGCTTAGGTCGCCACCCCCAAAAGCACCCAAGAGCACCCGACAGGACGCCACCCGCATAGCACTACAATGCCCCCAGGATGTCAGGCAGTCAGTCAATTGTAGTTTTCGTGGCTGTTACTCAAAGTTTTAATTACACAGTCGTTGCAAGGATGCCTCCCAGGGAAGTGCGAGATGGGGCCTCCTCGCAACAAGCAGTTACAAGGCCACCGACATTCGGGGCTGTCAATGAAGGCTGCTGCGATGCTGCAAATGTTGGATGTTGTGTCCCGGTGCAGGATTCGGAACATCAGCCCGGTCTTGTCCATGCCCCGCCAGATGCCGCCTAGTTGGGCTCTTGTTTTTTTTTTTTCTTGTCTAGCATGTTTGCAAGACAGTCTTAAGAACACTTCTTCTTGATAGATCTGAAAATTATCCATGTAAAAGGATGACAAAATCGTTTTAGATATGCAGATATCGATTAAAACTGAAATAGGAAAATCTAAATTTCCTAAAATAGTTTATAGTTTGATTCTAATATGATTAACAATTTAAATTATGATAAATTTCTTGATCTAACATTATTATAATATTATTAACAACACCTCGACCTAGATCAGGAAAAACATCTCTATATCTATTAAAAACCCATTTCTAAATATATTACATAAAAACTAAATATTACACAAAGTTAGCAAAAAAGTCAAACTAACTCAGTCTCGAAAACCTACAATAAAGAGGATAAAAAGGAGAACTTAAGATATTTTTTAAATAATAAGAAAGCAACCGTAAGTTTTAATTATTACTTATAATTATCGAATTATAATTACATAACATTGCATTACAAAGTTAGCTCAGCCTAAGTAGTTTTCCCAATGAACTTTCCTTAGATTTAATTCATTTTCCCTAACTCATTATGGCAGTTTTCAAAAACCCTCCTCTTCCTCTGTCCCCCGGAAAACTTTAAGCAATGAAAACTCATTTGCCAGCCATTGGCGAGACGTGCGACATTGGTGGCTGCCGCTGCCAAAATTCTAGGGAACTTCGAGGAGTGCCAGACTGGCGGAGTGCTAGGATCCGGAGCGGTAGCGCTAGCCAGGGGAATGTGTCGCGGTTTGTCAGCTTGGCACTGGATGATGGAGTGCGGCATTGTTGCATTTTAATTGAAATTTCTTTGTGGACTTGGCGCGACAAAGCAGCACCAGCAACAGCAACAACAACGACAACAAGCAAACCAACATGGCAACAACAATCGCTAACGAGCGCCGGAATGATGGCAAATAAAAGCGGAAAAACGAAGCACAACGGCACAACGGAAAAGCGGGAAATCGCAAAAAAAAAAAACGAACAAAAAAACAGTGGAAAGAACAGTGTCGAGTGCAATCACAAAGCAAACAACGCGAATCAAGGCGGAACACTGTTCCCAATGCCAAAGTGGCAATACATAATAATGAATGAATAAAGCGAAGCAACGGGGAATCTCTGTGACATTTATTGTACGATTCCGGAAGGGTATATTCACTATCTTAAGGATTTTATAAACAACAAGTTATAATTATTAAATAATGCTTTGTGCCCAAAGCAGAATGAATCATCATATTAATTTTATTTAAAATGATTTTGATTTTTTTTAAACTTCCAACATTATTCTTACGCAGTGTTAACAATATTTATTGATTTGTGTTTTTTTTTTATATAAAGCATGAAGAATACAGGTTTTAATACTTAAAAATAAAATTTTTAAAAACAATACATATACAAAAGTATCACAAAAAGCTTCTTGTTATTCAGTTTTACTATGTGTATAATTGTCAATATCAAGCGTTCACAAGTGTTCAAGTGTTCACAATAATTATTTGTACAGTGCAATTGCTGACTTTTTAATGTAATATTAAAAATCGTTTGAAGAATACAGACTTTAATATTACAAAAGATATACTTTCAGACACTAAACAATAAATATAAAAATTTGTCCCTTGTTACTACTTCTTAAATGAGTCGGTGTCAATCATACGCAGTGTTCACCACAATTATTTGTATGATGCAAATATATTTTATATTTTCTATTCATCTTAACAATATTTTAAATTAGAGGAAATTTTCGTGTCAAAACTCATTTTTAGACATGACTTAATTTAAGAATTTTCCCATACTTATTTTAACTTTTATTATCATATAAACAAAAAATTTAGAGTGTATCCGAAATGCATTGTTTTCTTCCTATTTTTTACTCACTCTCATCACCGTTTTTGGGGTCGCGGCTCGAAATCCGTCGCATTTTTGCGGCTCAACGCAAATATAATAATAAATTTTGCATATTGCTGTTGCTATTATTTTTCATAAATGAAACTGTTGTCAATGGATGGTCTGCATTCGCCTCCTTCCTGTTATCCTTATTTCGTTGTTGTTTTTGGCTGCTGCTGCCGAATAGCCTTTTGTTGTTGGTGGTTTTTATGCGCATCCTGTTTGCCTTTTTGTCACCGTTTATTGTTTTTCCTGGAGCGATTCTGGGTGTGGGGGCTCGCATTGCGGTCACTTTATTGTTTGCCGGATACGTTCCGCCACATTTCGAAAAGTGCCCCCGAAAAAGCAAAGGATGCCGCTCTGGAGGAGCCAGAGGAGCAGGGCGCGTTTGGAAACCACGTAATTTGCCGTCTGATGAAGATTTACGACATGAAAGCCGCAAAAATAAACGCCGAATACACGAAGGCCACCACATAAAGCAATCCACCCTGCTACGCCGACGCCGCCGCCCACTGAGACCCATGATAGATGGCCAGTCGGATGAACCCTATCCGACTTCCTGGCCGCCTTCATTCTCCCCTCGGTCATTTATGTAAATTTGCTAAGAAAATTAAGCCCGAAATGAAGAGATTTGTCTCGGCTTTATTAGCCAAGATGAAGGAGTCTAGGCTGCCAGTTCATCTAGGAGCAGCTAGGAGGCCAGCATTTTTGCCTCCCCAACTGCCAGAATGTCGCTCCAGGGAAATGAAACTAGAGTAGGACGAATTCATCTACACTGCACAAGATTTGGTCATTAAATAGCAGAACTTGGCAGATAGGTACAAGTGTATAGCTTAAAACGAATGTACAACTAACTTATATCGTTACGAAAACTGAGAAAGAATATTATTAATAATTGTAAAGAAAGAAATGTAATTCCTTTAGTTTCAGAACTCTAGTATTGGGTTTTCTGTGTAATTGTAAAAGTGTCCTGTGCAATTCATGGGCGTTAACGAGCCTTTCGTGTGTGCCGTTCACTTATGTGTATACGTACATACATATATGTCCCTGCCCCAAATGAGGGGGCGTGCTGCATTCCAGACCCGAAAATAAGGACAAGACCAAAGGCCCAGCAGCATGTATCGTGTTAGTATCTGTTTTTAATGGCAACTCCATTAGACAAACAGGATCTGCCGGCCAGCAGCCAAGGCCGGATAAGAGCTGCCGCCCCCCTCAGCTTATGAATAGTCCTCCCGGATGCGGCGACTGCTTGTCCAATAAATAATTCATGTCTGCCCAGAAGAGCCGCCCCACGGCATCTGCTCCTCCCTCCAGCTGCTGCTCCACCTTCTCCTCCCCCAACAGATCCCAACCTAATGCGGATGCAGACAGAGGAAACCCTATGGAAGCGGAAACGTAATGCAATTCGGAGGGCCAAATGAGGGGTTTAATGCATGTATTCATGGCGACGATGTTTACCAGAATCAGCAATAACACACAGTGTCCAGAGATGGGCATTGGAGGAGCCCTTATGCCGAGCATCAAATTATTCTATTAACAGTTTACATAGGGATAAGCCAATGCCAGTGGATTGTGTTGCATTTGCTGGGCAATTAGAAAATTATAATTGCAATCGACTTAGCAAATGGAATTATTCGCCAGACAATGCAAATAATTTATTAAACCAAAATCGTTTGATGAGAAGGCAAAAACTCGTAAAGACAGAAATGAAAGCTTAGAAACCTCCATACGAATTTGAATATTTTTAAATAACCTGCACAAGTTTTGTTTCAGTCGAATTGTTCGGAACTAAAAGATTGCATTGGAACTATTGATTGTGTATAGAAATATCAATATATATAAATATTTTGGAAGTGACAACATTTTTATTGTTATGAATAATGTATGGTAATCTAGTGTAACAGCTTACTATGAAGTAGTCTTTTGTGATAGCTTTAGAATTTAATGAAATAATTTAATTTAATTGGCTTTAAGATCAAAACTCTAATCTTCCGAATTAAAACTAAACTATATAAGAAGACCTTTCGTTACTATTCATTAAAATCTTACGAATTACTTTGTACTTAAATTCCAAAAGTTTTTAAAACTTCACTTAAATGTATACAGAAATGCAAATTAAAACTTAAGATAAACTGAAATGAGAAAGAAAATTTTATAAATACAACTAAATTTTTTTAAGATACTTCTAATAAAACATTATTACATTACGATTCTTCCTTAAGTCACAGAAAGATCTAGCTTTGGCTTGGTTTTCGGGTGTGAGATCGAGCACTATGACTGGTCATCCTTTATTATCACACGGCAACATCATAGTCTATCTACATTACACACAGGATATAGATCTAAAATTAGCTAGGATTTGGCATTGAGTGGATTTGAGCATCTTTGGCGGAACCTAGAGATCCATTATAAATTCAGTGAGGTAACCGCAAGACTATTGCAGCTTGAGGATAACGTGGCCGGCGTGGCGCTTGTACAACACCAATGACATGTTGACCAGAAAGGGAGCGGCCAGCCAGAACAGGCGTGTGCCAATGCCCGTATCTTCGCGATGAAAGATCCCCGAGGCTGCTCCGCGACCCGTGTTGCAGAAGGACTCCTCGCAGCAGGAGGTGCAGGCATAGAGCTTGGTCCGCTCACCGATGATGATGCAGCCAGGCTCACAGTTAGCCGCACAACGGCGGTCCAGGGACCACATCTTCGGCGAACTGGTCGAGTTCTCCGTGCTGGTGGTGTACGAGAAGCGCTTGACCTAGTGGCAATGAAATAATAAATAAATTTCTCAGTGAATTTTGTTCCTCCGCTCTCACCATGCAGATGAACTCCTCGCCGTGGCACTTCTTCATCATCGCGGTGTCATTCTTCACCGCCACGTCCACGCAGGCCTCGCCATCGTCCATCGTGTGGCAGGCGTAGCACCAGAGGAGGTTCACCCGCTCGATGGCAGCCGCCGTTCGATGAATGTGTCCGCTGGTCAGCGATGTGCTCGGACCGGGTCCCGGAGAGCTGGTGCCTGTGACTGGACAACGGAACGGCTTGTTATTGATTTTTCCAACACCAAGGTCGACGCTTAGTTTCCGCAGAGCTACCTTCAGTTAGCAGAACTCACCATTGTTGACGCATGCCGTGAAGACGATGGACGAGCTGGTCAGCAGGAAGTAGAGCAGCGTAACAAAGGGCCTGATCATGGCTAATCTACCGTGGAGATTCCTCTGCTCGGCCCAAAAACCTTGTTTACGTGCTCCTCATTCCGCTGGCCCCGCTGCTTCTCTCCATCTGTCCCCTCAAGGGGACCGCGAATGTCAGAAATAGTGAAAGACGAGGAGGTCATGCGCACAAGATTTCGATAGTTATCAAGGACTTAAACCAGGATTATTGCACATTTATCGGTACCATTGAAAAAATAATACTTATCAATCGGTTTCTTTTAGTATTTTCAATATAATATATAATTGCTATTTATTAATCAATTAAAAGATAATTATATTTTTTTTTATATTTTCTTTATTAATATTAGAGTTTTTAAACGAAGATAATACAGTAAAAATTGTGTTTAAAATTTAACTACAAACACTTTATTTATTTAACGTTATAAAAATTGTAGTCACGTAAGAGAAACTTAATCCTAAATTAAGGCTTCGTTGTGGAATTGGACACATTTACAATAAATTCTTCAATGAAAGTGCCTAAGTACATAATACAATAATTATTATACATCCTATGCCTTCTAGTTGAATAATTTAGATCTTAGAATAACTTAGATCATTTGGACACCGTAAAAAAGGTTTGGAAATTTATTATAAGTTCTCTCCGTTAAAGCATTATGTAAATAAAATCATGTTAATTGGTTTAAATAAGGTAACGATCATTGCCATTTTTATCTTGTACCAAATTTCAATTATTGTAAATAAAAATATTAAAATAAGAACACTTAATAACTTTTAAACTAAATAACAATATACAGCTAACCTTCCAGGATGCTGCTCTTTACTAATTTTTTTTACAAACAACTGGACGGTGCAATTTTGAAAACGCAACTGTATGGGTACAGTAGTAACTGTGGTACAGTGATAGTGGTGGTACAGTGAAAACTGTAAATCAGTAGAGACGCAGGTACTGGAGCGCCTGCCGGCTTTGCATGGGATACAGATCACCCACGTTGTACATGAGATCAACCACATGGGTGGGTCTCAGCATCCGCCAAGGCATGAACTTGAGCGTCTTCTTGTCGCAGTGCACATCCTCCTCGGGCTCTAGGGGCAGCGGCACCTCGTTGTATAGCACTCGGCCATCCACGCTGCGCTGCAGAGTGCATGGGAGTCCGATCTGGTCGGCCAAACCCTTGAAGAGGATCGCTCGCTCGAACTGGCAGCCACTGCGCACTGCTCCGATCGGGATGAAGTTGGTGTGATAAACGTAGCGCAGGTCAGCCATATGACAGTTGACCGTGTGGCGGGAGCACTCCTCCGTCGAGTTTAGGTCCAAGATCTTGAGATTGTCGCTCATTACGCCCGCCACCGCCTGGGCGATCAGCCTGCTGCGCTTGGCTACGTTGTCGAAGTCAATGGAGCGTCGGACTCGTTCGGGATTCTCCACCAAACCATTCTCCTAAAATGGGATTATACTTATGCAAAAACTTTATACTCAGAGGCAGCCAAGACTGACCTCCAGCGTCTGATTTAGTGCCTCCAGGTATTCCGGAAGATACGAGTCCCCGGGACGCTTGCAGTAGATCCAGCCCTCTTCGGCAGTCTGCTCCGTGATTGTGTGCAAGCACCTAAGGGGCACATCGACTAGATCGCACTTATCCGCCGTGGGACGATCGAAGTTCACCACCAGCACAGCGTCCAGCGGCGAGCAGTCGGTGCGCAGGATGTTCTGGAAGATGCGAAAGTCTTCGTACATTTTGCGAGGCACATAGAAGTCCTTTCCAGCGGTTATGTCCGTAAAAGTGAGGCAATTGCGGATGCAAAACTTCAGGGTCGGGCACTTGGACAGAATGCTCTCGATGGCCGGTCCCCAAGTGGAAACGCAGAAGGCGTGCTTCTGGTAGTCTATCAAACTGATATTGGAAAAGTGTTATGCTCACTCTAAAGAGAAATGACCTCTGTCTTACACTTCCAGAATGCCGCGATCGATGTAGACGTCGATGAACTCATTGAAGCGCGTAGTTTGCAGTATGAAATTGGTTACCGAGGTCTTCACCAGATTGGACAGCGATTTGAGGGCACGCTTGATAGAAGTCACTATGTAGTTCTCCAGCAGAGTCAGACGCACCCGCTCCTCATCAATCAGCGTGCAAAAGCATCGGAAGATGTTGTTCACCAGGATCGAGTGGGCAAAGGCACGCTGTGATGGGTTGCGAATGAATATAATTTCACTTACTACGCAGACCTACCATTAAAAGCTGGGCAATCTGTTCTGTCAAGGATGAATACACCCCCAGAAGGGTTCGGTACTCCTCGTTTTGAGCCAGAGTCTCAATCACTGTCAGCAGCGAGAGAATTAGATCAATGGAGAGAGCTGGCAGTCCCTGGGCGAAGACAGTGGCGAGGACGGCGGCTATGTCCTGCTCCTGCAGCTGAATGGCCGTCTCCCGGAAGGACGCCACCAGCAGGCGAGATAGGAACTCGGCCGCCTGTTCTCGCGTCTTGATGGCCACTTCCGATGACAGCAGGATGGAAACTAGCTTACGAATTGCACCCTCCTTATACTCGGCCACGATACGACGTAGCGCCTCCGGGTATTGGGAGAGACGACACAGACCCTGGATCACAAAGGCAGCCGGTGCTGGCTTGTTCTCCATGAGGCATTTCAGGAACATGTCCGTGATTTCCGCCTTGTGCATGCGCGACAAGAACTGCTCGTACTGGGCAGTTTCCGCGAAGATGGAAATGATGGTGCAGCGCATCTGCAGCGGCAGCTGGTCCATGTACACCTGCAGCTGCTCGACCACCATATCAAAGAGGTTTTGCTCGAAGAATAGCTTGGTCATTTTTTCAGAACGCAGGGCCGTGGCTAGCACCTCAATTATATCGGTCGCCTCGGGGCCCTGGGGATTGTCGCAGAAGGCCTTGACCAGCTGCTCCAGCACCATAAAGCAGCGATACATGGGCTCAAAGACACTGTCCTCTCCCGTATCCGACAGCAGGGTCTTAAGGGCCTTTAAGGCCGCCTTGCGAATCTCCTGGTACTCGCTGGTCACCTCACAGATGATGCGATCCACCGGAAAGTCAGGCTGCGTCGTGAACTGCAGCATCTGGTCGGCGCTCTGGGCCTGCAGCATCTGATGCAGAGCCTCGATGGAATGCAACACCGTGTCCGGGTTCTCGGAATTTATGAACACGAGCTTGAACTTTTCCAGGAACTCTGTTTCATCCACAATACTGTGCGCCATCTGCGGATCTCTCAGGCACACGTTCAGAATGTATGTCAGATACTCGATGCAGAAGTCGTCGGACTCCCTTAGGTAGTACGTGCGGGCCAGTTCCAGGATCTGATTCGGCTGATTTGGCTCAAAGGTGGACATGTCCACGATGTCCAGCAGAGCCGTGAGCAGATACAAGGCGAACCGGCGAATCATTGTGCTGTCCCAGCTGATGAATAACTCCTTCTCCAGGAGTAATTCCAGCAGCCGATGTTCCTTCAATTCCAGGACATTCGCATCCTGGCGGCGAGCAAAGTCCGTTATATGGCTAAAGACAGAGATCAGGACGCACTCCTCCATCGAGCTAAGCAGCAAAAGTGCCGTGTCCAGCTTCTTGATCGTCACATTCAGCTCCGTGACGGACTTCTCCTCGGATTTGGTACGATCCGGATAAGCGGCGCGAGGCTCATAGATGCGCTTCGAAATTCGGGACATATCTTTGTGGATGATCCGGACTTGACTACTTATTTAGAATCGACTTATATGAACACAACGTGTTAAATAAAAAAAAGTTAGATAATGACAAAAACAGCAAAAGAAACATGTAAGTTTTTGAAATTTCCACTCCAGAAAGAAAAAAAGTATTTTTATTAGAATACTTCATTTTAAATTGAAAAAAATTTATTTTTAAATATAGATGAGTAGAAACATGGGAACGAAAAATGTACTGTCTTTTAAAATTAATATGATTTTTGGACTTAATAGTTTGAAGGTTTTCAAATAAATAAAATGGATAAAAATTAGTTTCTTTGACAAAATTAAATATTTTTTTAAATGGCATCTAATATAGAATCCGATTTCAGATCCTTAAAACCCCTGAAAATGTAGTCTGTTCAGTATTAAAACTAATTGTGCATCAATTCTGGTCAGATGAATCCAATTTGGCACTTATCAAGGAGAAAATAAACGATGTGTTAGCAATTTCACTCCGAAAGAAAATTCGGAGTTCGGAGTTATTAGAAATTCTAAACCTATCGCTATCGTTGTCTTCAAAACACACCCCTCAAACTCCAATTGAATACCCAGAACTTTACGGAAAATGTCAGACAACAAGGAAACTATGCTTTTGTATACAAATCAGCTAATATAAATTAATAATAGACCCTTTATTCAGATAGATATTCCTCAAATTTTATATGCAGAAAAATCCGTTAAATTCAAAACCGAACTCGATAGGCAGCTGATGCTATCGATCGCACCGATGTTACAATTATCGGTGGAAATTCACTAAATATGCCAGGCGCGTCGCATCGTTGGTTTGAATTTAACAAGCGAACAGGGGTGGAAAGAGGAATAAGCAATAACGCGACGCTTGTTTGTTTCGCCATCGCTTCCCACACTCTCTCCGCAATTCGAAAATAGTCGGATTTTAGGATAAACACAGCTCGAATACCGCGCGCGCTGATCTAGCGAAGAAGATCACTTAAAGCACACGACGACGACATGGCTAGACCGAAGGCAAGTGCCAAGGAAAAGGCCAATCCCAAGCCCCCGCCAGCATCCACCAAGAGGCGAGGACGTGCCAAGAAGCAGGATGGGGAAAAGGAGAACGAGGAGCAGAGCGTGGCGCCCGCATCCAGCAGCACAATTGAACCAAGCAGAGTATCAGCTGTGGCAGAGGCCATGTATACGATAATGCGACACACCGAGCGGAAGGCGTCACTCCACAAAAACTACGTAAAGGAGATGCAGCAACTGTACACGAAGGTTAGTGGCTGTGGCTGCGACTCTAGGAACGGCGCTTGTTTGCTCAACTAGGACTCGAGTTTAATGATATGCATCTATGTTTGCCTTTCAGGCGGGCCACCAAGCGTTCCAGACGACGTTTATTAACGTGCTGAAGGCGATCCTGGAGGCGGAGGAGGGCAATGAGAATGCCACTATGGCTCTCAACTTTTGCGCCACATTGGTGACCAGCTTTAAATCAGAACGCACACACCCAGTGCTTGCCGAGACCATCCACTGGCTACTCACGGTGAGTGTCTACTGTACCCGCACCCCACCCCCTTTTACAATGAATCCATTTGACCCTTCTGGATTCCTATGCCCCGCAGACATACTCCAGCAATCCGCACATTCGGTATCGCCTCTGCTACTTCGTGAATCTCATACTCAAGGAGCTGGGACCCAATGCCGCCTTGGACGACACCCAGTGTGACGAAATCCTGGAGTCGATGCTGGACCGCGTAAAGGATGTGGCGCCCAGTGTGCGCAAGCAGGCCGTGCTGGCCATGCAGCGACTCCAAATGCCAGACAATCCGAAGGATCCCGTTGTGGTTGCCTACCAGTATCATCTCTCCGCCGATCCGTCGCCCAGCGTGCGTCAGTGCATCATAACATGCATGGGCCGCAACTACATCACTGTGCCGTACATCCTGCAGCGCCTGTGGGACGTCGACGAGAAGGTGCGCCGGCACACTTACGTCAATATGTGCAACTACCCGGTCCGCTCCTACAAGGTGGCCCAGCGCCTGACTCTGCTAGAACAGGGCCTCAATGACACCTCGGCCACCGTGCGCAAGACAGTGATCAACTACATGCTGAAGGCCTGGATCGAGTCGTATCAGCAAAACTACATCTCCCTCACGGCTGCCCTGAAGCTGGACTCCAACGAGGAGGAGCTGCTGCGTTTCCGGCGCGTCGCTAAGCAAATGCTGCGAGTGATCTTCGAGAAAACGGAGGTCGATCAGCTGATAGAGCTGCTGCCGCTGAGCGACGACTGTGAACTGCACCGCTGTATACCGCAAGAACAACTGAACGTGGAACTGCTGCTCTATTGGCAGTGCCTCAGTGAGTTTCTGGAGACGCAGTCGTACGAGACGGACCCGGTGTTGCCCGAACTAAGTGTCTTTTGCAGTTATGTGGAGAAGTAAGTCGGGCTATCCCCATCCTCAATAATTGATTGTTAAACGAGTTCCCTTTCTTGCAGATTCTGTCTGTTCCAGAAGCCCGACATGGACAAGTTCGCCCAGATCGAATTCCAGAACATGCTTCTGTCGCTGGTGGAGATGTTGCAGTCGTACGACTTGGGCGACGAGATCGGGCGTGGTAATATGCGAGTACTAATCTCCGGCTTGCTCAAGGACTGCCTGCTGGACCACAAAATTGTGTGCGTACTGGTGCGGTGCACGGAGAAGTTAATAACCGACCTTAACGACCGAATGCAATATCTCATCGACATCATTTACGAACTGTGCGAGCTGAATACCAAGCAGAACGAGCTTATTCACGACCGCAGCCTGATTAATAAGTTGCTGGACGACTTGGACACGCCGCTGAAAATGAAAATCTCAGCTCTGAAGGTCAAGATCCTGGAGCTGGAGGAGCACGAGGACAATTTTGTGCGCCAAAAGGAGTACATACGCGCGCAGGCGGTGACTGAAGAGAAGACCAACGTCACCACGGAGTATGCGGAGCTAATACGGCCACTGCTTGAGCGGACCGGCGTTCTAGAGATGCCTACCCGACCCAAGCTTTCCAAACAAGAGCGCATACTGAAGGCTCTGTACACCTCGTACTACATGGTGGCCTCGCCGGTCGTACACAAACTGACGCCAGCCCTCTGCCAGCTCTACAAGGATTTTATCTGCCGACACCTGGCCTCCACGGAGGTGGACATTTTCGAGTGGGCCATCAAGTGTGGCACCACATACTGCCTGTTCTACGAAACGTACTGCAAGGAGATGTTCGAGGTGGTTGTGGAGCAGGTCTGCAACAACAATATTCCGCGGCTGTGCGAAACGGCGGCCGGCTGCCTGATGGAGCTGCTGGACCACTACGGTCTGGACTACTTCAACGAGCTGAACCAAACAGGCGCTGGAGGTGGCGGCAGTAAAGAGTTAAACAAGAGCAAGCGGCGCCAGCTCTACACGATGCAGGAGCTTTACGACTGCGATGACGATGGCACCCAGTCGCAGAACAGTGACCAAAACTCTGACATTCTCATGGTGTTGAGTCACTTCGTCGATCGAGTGCAAAGCAAGGGTGTACGTCTGGCCATAGTGCGTGGGCTTTGCCGCCTGGTGCTCCGCGGACACATAGACGATCGCACAGACGTCATGGAAACATTGCTGAAGCGTTACTTCAACCCAAACACCGAGGCCATCGTTAGTCAAGTGCTGGGTATGTTTTTCGAGCAGCTGCTTCATCACAAGAAGCAGGCCCTGCTGGAACCATGCCTCCTGTCCTGCGTGTGGACCATTATGAACTGCAACTTTGACTCGCCGCTCTGTACAGTACAGCCCGATCACCTGACCAAGTTCTTTATCGAAATGACGATGCAAGAGGGCTCCTCTCCGCAGACTAATATCCACAACAAGATCGCGCTGAGCTTCCTCCAGTACATACAGAACTATTTCACAGAGCGTAGGGACATGTGCCGCCTCCTATCCAAGGAGCTTACCTCCTTGACAGTGAATGTATTCAACGGGCCGGAGATTAAAGCTGAAATGCTTGAGCTCGCGGACAAGCTGATAGCTGTGAGTACTTTTCTTTACTGGTTAGCTTAAGTATCTTCGTGCTTATTTCCCATTTCCTTTACTTCACAGAGCGATCTGGATCCGCGCATGACCAAGAATATTGAAAACTTTAAACTAATGGTCAATGGCAGTTTTGACCCGCCGCCCCGCCGGAACCCGGAGGATGGTGACAGCGATGAGGAGTGCGAAACAGCCACAGTGACATCGGTAAATGTAGGACACGCACAGACAACTACAGCACCCAATGGCGAAGAATCTGCAACAGAGCCATCTATGGCAGCAGTTACGGACACGTCACAAAGTGAGAAAAGAACCCCTCCACCCGAAGCAGTTGCGCCAGCAGCAGCACCAGCTCCTGAGCCCATTATAACTACTTTTGGCGAAGATAACATTGTCGGACTTCGTAACCTGCGGAGATCCCTAGCCATTAGCCGTTCGGAAGCGGATGCCCTACTTGGCTTGGATGCGGAAGCCAATGCGGATTCAGACCCCGAATCAGAATCTGAGGAAGCTGTAGCAACTGAGACGGCCGAGACATCAAAGAGGAATCTACGCCGGCCGCAGATGAAGAAACGTCTCGAGAAAGCATTAGCCAGATCATCCAAGACGCCGGAGAAGCCGCCCGCAAGCAACGATGAAGCATCATCGACATCTGAAAATGAAGATGTTGCGAGTCCAGACAGAGGAAATCGGGTAAGAGGTTAAAGATCCGGGATACTCTAGCATGCTAACTATTCAACTCTACTTTAGTCAAACGATTCCGAGGTGATCGAAGCCTCGCCCACGGCAGCCTCGCCGCCAAATGAGAGCATGACGATGCCCAATGCCAGCCATCTTCGCCTTCGATCACTGCGCAACCGAAAGGGCATTGGAGCGACCGCAGTGCCCGCTGCGAACTCCGCTAGCAAAGTGAGTACCAGGCGCTTACGTATGCAGCTCTAGCCACTGCGACAGGATCATAGGCACCACTACTTAAATGACAAGACACTCCATTTATATTTAGCTTGTAAGAGAAAAGTTGCAATCTGCATTAACAAATCAACAAATGTTTTCAAAACTGAATACCAAAGAGTTGTTTCCTTTAGACTTTATAGAAGCCAATATCTTGTCAACATCTTTTGGCTTTATAGAAGGCAATGTTTAGTTCACATCCACTTGCACACACTCCCCTATTTAGCTTACTTTCCCTTGGGTTTTTTATTTCAATACTCAATTTTTTTTGTTTTGTTTGATTTATTTTCACTAGCGGAAAGTCCTGGCCCTGGAAACGCCTCTCAGAAATGGACGGAAAAGGGTGCTCAGGCGAACGCCGTCCGATTCGCATTCTCGCTCCTTGCGGTCCAGTGGCTCGGCCGCTCCCTCGCCCCGCAATTCACCACAGCGCAAGCAGCAGCGCCTGGACGAGACGACTTCCCGGCGAACGGCGACACAGAAGAATGCCAACAGCCCCACGGAAAGCACATCCTCTGTTAAGGAGAACAAAGTGCCGGATACGATAGTTATTGGGTCGACATCCGAAGCTGAATCTGATTCGGAACCAGAACCCGAATCAAGGGCATCGACGTCCAGGCGACGGCAGCCAGTCATCGCCAAGACGCTTAGAACGTCTCGAACCCGGCTCACCAGCGCCAGCACAAGCACTCCAAAGATAACGACACGGAATTCTGCACGCGCCCAGAGAATAAACACCCATGTCATGACCCGGAAACGGATGTCGCTAGAAATGAACCTCAGTGCCGGCCAGCTGCAGTCGACGCCCAAGCGAGTGACGCGGGCGGCGCCCACATCTATGAGCGAGCACAAGACACGTAGTAGTAGTAGAAGACAGAAATAGTCTCCAGCAATCAGCGTTATTGTATGTCCACTTTCGTTGTGTTCTATGTTCGTGTGTTAGTCCGTTCCAGTTTACGAGTTTCATTTTAGAGTTGCTAACTTTCCGTGAGTTTTATTGTGTACAATATGTGTAAATTATATAGTTTCAAATATAAATATATCGTTGAATAATTTAATCAATGTTTAGGCCGCACCATAAAATTAAATATAGTAAATATACATATAAAAGCCAAAAGTTTTCTCAATTATTTCTTTTTGTTTAAGGTAGGGCAGAGCGTCAAATGTCAAGCTGGAAGTCCGATAACGGCTGATAGAAAATATCAACATCGATATTTGAAGCATATATTTGTATAGCCCAAATCATTAATTTATCATTGAGGTAAATAAACATTCTGTTATTTACGGGCCAATTAATTCAGAAAAATATTTTTGTTTGATATTTCCTTGATAATATCCTTATTTTAAATTCAAATATTCATTTGTAACCCCCTTCCCCTATATATTCAGGATATATACGGTTCTAAGGTTCTCATACCTGAGGACTGAGATCGCAGTTTTTCCTCCTAAATATGAAATCAATTCTATATAACTCTCAATCTTTTTCAAGACAAAGGTTAAAAATCACAAGGGTTTTATAAAAAAAGTTTATAATTTATTCAAAAAGATCTGTATAAATGTGTATAAGTGTGTGTATTTTGATGCTGGGAAGCATGCGTGAATAAGTACATGCTGAGATTCCGATCGATACGAATGAAGGAAGCCAATGGTTGGCGAGCAGTGATTACATTAGGTTCAAGTTACGTACGAGTCCTTAGATCTATCCGAAAAGCTTAGACTACACGAACTAGAAACGATAGTTACGAGGTTAAGGCAACGGCGGTAGTTTAAAACAGTACAAGGTGATCGAAGTGGAGAGAAGGAGCAGGAAGAGCAGCAGCCGCTGCTATGTGAAGTATTCTTAAAGTTTAAGGCCATTCAGTTTATGGGCCGTCGTGTGCAGATCCCATTCGTACTGCTGCAGCGCCTCGAACGAGGCTTCAAGGCTGAGATTCGCCTCGCTAACCAGATTCTGCAACTTAATAAGCTTGATGGATTTGTGAACATCCCAGTTGATGAACTCCAAGGCTCCCAGGCATCGATTGGGGGTGCTCTGTGGATAAGAATAAGAATTCAATTAGAGTTTAATATATTTATATTACTAAACTTACGTCCTTTCCCAGAACTTTTACCATGATGCGCACTTCATCAGAATCAACGCCCCGTTCGCAGCCTTTCGGCTTCTTGTCAGAGAATTCCAGCAGGTCCTCGCAGCTCACTGAGTTCGAGTCTGCCAGTCGAGCGGCTGTGGCTGCAAAATACTCAGCTTCTGTTTGAGGCTTCGGTGTAATTCCTCCGCTAGCTTGGCTGGTGCTTGGACTCGAGTCAGCAATGGAGTTGCGATTCATGGCCAAATTCACGGAGGCGCGTACTTTTTTGAATAACGCGTTGCCCGCCAGCTCATTGTCCACGCTGGAGAATCGACGACTTGCCTCCTCGGGGACAGCTTCGACCACAGACTGCGTCTCTTGATGTGCCACTACCTCTGGGTCCAAGGTACTGCTAGTGCTTGCTGCAGTGGCCGTTTTGCGGCTGCTCTCCATATCCAGGTTGCGCAGCTCATCGTCGTTTACATATAGACCGGAGATCTGGGTAGCCTCGAACTCCACATCCTTGGCCTTGTTGTAATGTTCCTTTTGAATGGAGAAATTGTAAAAGCCGTCGGTCACATCTGGTGATTGTAAAATTCCCTCTTTGCTGGAATCCGCTTCCAGAATGGACTCGAACTGAAGGGATGCGGTGTCAGTAAGCCCGGCAGCATCAGCCGGCGCCAGCTTTTCCAGGTTCTGGTAGGTGTGCGAGGGTTCACTACCAACGACCGGCATATTCGCGTACTCCCGTTCCGAGGGACGCGACGGGCGTCTCATGCTACTTGGTCGGACTGCTGCTACCACCTCGATGGCACGACCTGGTTGCGGCTGCTGGGAGGACGAAGCGGACTCCATGCTTTTTCCCGTCTCCTCTCCAAAGTCCGCCAACTTGCTAAGAGTTCGCTGCAGGCCGTTGGCCGGTATAATCAGCGGATATTTACGGACATGTCGCTTGGTGCTGTTCTTCACCTGTTTCTTGCCTTCGCGCGGCGGCAAGGGAATGGGATTGGGCGACTCCGGCTCCGGCAGAGACTGTTGTTGTTGCGGCTCCGATTGCTGTTGCTGTGTTTCCGGGAACTTGTAGCTGCCGTGGGTCATGTAGCTGGGACTTTCGCAGGCCTCCAGCGAATTTAAGTTCTCATCGTTGTGGCGACTTAAGGTGGCCGCCAGCTCCGCCTTGCGCACCCGCTGGGCGGCACCTCGCGTGGGCAAGGTCATGGGCCGTTGCGACTGGTGCAGGCTCTGCAGGTCGAACTCGTCGGTGTCCAGATGGCGAAGAAGCGTGGCTGCCGGACTGGGTCCAATGTCCAACAGGGCCTTGCGTTCAATCAGGCTGTTGTAGGCCTCTAGTCCCTCCTTTCCTATCAGCGACTGCAACGGAGCGCCGGAGGAGGAATAAAGTCAAGGGAAATTAAATTGTACAAAATGAAAATGGTGGATAGGAAGAACGAAACTAATAAGAAATAATCAGAGGCAGGTAATAAGTAAAACGGAATAACATAAGTCCATTAATCAATCTTAAAAGCCGTGCTCCCACGATTGAAATTCTGAATTATTTTTCCTTTATTAAATCCCTTTAAATATGCACAACATTTTCTTAGTTTTTTTGATTACCAATTTTAACTTGTTTGTTTTTGGTTCTTGGAATGCAAACCCTTCTCGAATTTCTCGATTTCAAATAGGTGTTGTCTTAGTTTGAATTTAGTTTAGTTCGGATCTCAGTTATTTTAGTTTGTTAGTTATTAGGGGTTGGTTTCTTGTATAATACTTGAGTAAATTTTGGTTTTCATTTAGTTTTTTAATGTTCTCTGGGTTGAAACGCTTCGAACGTATAGTTTAGAATATCATTTTCCGTAATGCTTATACTTGTATACATAGAATTAGGTTTAGATTTAAGTAGGTGTATATATATATAATCTGTATATCATAATTTCAATTTGAGTTTATCCATAAATGCATAGAATGCGAAAATCTTTTAGTATAAGTATATTTTTTATAGTATAATATATATTTATTCTTAGTGAGGTTATCAAAAAATGTTTCGACACTCTGCAGCCGTCGGCAATTCGATTGAAGTTAATTTTTAGTTTTAGCTTTCGTTTAGGTTTTTGGTTTTCTTTTTAATTTTAGGTCTTAGGTTTAGGGTTTTTTAGGTTAGTAGGCAAATACTTGACTCTTCAATCTCAAATCTTATCTTATCTTAGGGTTCGGTTCAACACTCTAGCTGTAGTGAGAGCTTAAATGCTTATCTTGGTTTCGGTATCGTTTGGTTTCATATTTCGCTTTAGCTTTACTCTAGCTTCGGTTTCGATAAAAAATGCAAGCGTCTCAGGATATGGCAGATAATCCATTTGCATATGTACGGAATCCTTGATCCGACGACGAATGTTGTCTTCTGATGTGTGTGGACAAGTTCTGGGGATTGTCAACTGTTGTGGGTGTGTGTCTGTGTCTCTGTCTGTACTACTGGTAGTTTTATCAAAGGCCCTGTAATAACAAGATGAGTAACGCCGTATGATTTTTTGTACTCGTGCTGACTGTAGAGTTGACGTCAGGCTTCGTGAAAATGTTGTTTAAAGTCAGAGGGCAGACATAAAAATTGCTATCTGTGTGTTACTTTAAATCTTTGGGCGCTATGCATCTGGTCATTTTAAGGCCTTGGCTTCTTCGTGTCTGTGTGTGACTTATAATTAACGCCATAATGCATACTCATGGCCAATAGGAAATACCCTGTCTAGTTGGAGTCCCCCTTAAGTGTGTGGTGTTTGTGTTGACATACTGTTTCCGACAAGCTCCAAGCTCTTCTGGTTTTTTATTTTTGTATTAAAAAAAATCTTGAACATTTTCTATTCCGTTTCTGGAAGCCATTATCTCTTTGTTATCTTTGTAATATATCTTTTTTAAATTTATATTTGAATTTCTAGTTGTATATGGTTTGTAGGCTACTGAGTGAAGTATTTCCTGTTTGAGAGTTGCAGATAAAATTTCAGACATATTTTCGTTTTAGGTTTCGATTAAAAGTGGTATTGGATTCAGATAGTTCGCTAGGTAAATCGATAAAATCGAAAGACATGCTTAAACACGTTTTTGAAAAACTGTCACTGGTAACAATTCCTATATTGTCAACTTTAATGGGATTTAAAAAAACAGAAACCCAATCGAATTGTTTGAATCAAAGAGTGTTGATGGTGATGAGGAGCTATAGTGAGCTATTAAGAGTGGATGCAATGCATTTTGGAAGCTATGCAGCTGCTCATCTGCACATTATTATTATCTGTTCTGAGAGGTCTTCGGTGTTTTTCCTATAAGGCACACACTCTCATCTCGTTTCAAAAAATGCAAATCCAAAAATATATATAATCTATTCGCTGTAAATACTTCTACAATTTACTCTTCGACGTCCAACATACTCCGTCTCCTCCTCCTCTCTATCTTTCTTTCTTTCTGTCTCACACACACAGACACTAGCACAAACACAGCCCCGCCAAGAGCTCCACACGGTGGAGCGTCCATCCCTGACCATGATATTCCGGGCCCAATTCCTATCTTCACGCCACACTTTTAGGGTCGTCCTGCCTTCCGATCATCCTCTAATCGGACATCACATTGCCGAACAGTAAATTGAGAACGTATTTCAGCATTTTCCTTAGTTATGGAGCCGGACTGGGCGGGATTCGCGGTGCTACGAACTCGCGCCGGAACTGAAACTCATCACCACTCTCGGTGCTGGACGAGGAAGAGCTATCGCTGGATCTTCTGGCTGCCACAGCCACTCCGCCTTCACCGGCACTGATAATCACGGCTGTGGTCAGCTGCTGCTGATGGTGATGGGGCTGCTGCTGCTGGTGCTGCATCTGCCGCCAGTGCATCTCGTGCTGCTTCACCGCTGAGGCGTGTATCTTCTCCGGCCAGTGGAACTCCGTGGGTCTCTGTGGCTTCGTCATTTTTCCAGTGGGCGTCAGCAGGGAGCCCATCGAGAGCTGGCGCTGCTTAAGTTCCTCGGGTGAACTGCCCACAAAATTGGTGGACGTGGGGCTCTTTCCCGTAAGCCGACTGATGTCGAACTCATGCAAGGCGGCTCCACCACTCATAGGCCGCTGCAAGGCTGTTCCAGCTCCCGGCCGATAGGTTGCCTGCTGTACTGCTGATGAGGCTGCCGAAGAGGAGCCCGATCCGGAACCTAGCATTTCGGCTCCGTTCAAGATGTAACTCGGCTTCTGACTGGAGCTTAGATAACTGGCATGCGCCATGTTGTAGTTGTTGCCCGGTCCGCGGCCTCCAAAGTCGTAGATGCGCTCGTCGTACTGGAACTGCTCGTAGCCACCGCCAGGCATGCCGCTCCCTCCGCGATGGAAGCTGCGCCGCTGTCCGCCGATATTGTAGTGTGGCGCCGACTTGATGCTCGAGTTGGACCCGTAGATCTGACGAGGCGAAATGATGGCCTCGCGCTCGTCATGGCAGGCGGACTGCACCTGGCGGTTTAATCCAGCTCGCCGCCGCCTGCCCAAGGAGGCGTTTGAGCCGGCCGCCACTCTGGCACGAATATCGCACTCGGATCGTGCCAGACTGGGCTTGACTGGTTCCTCGCCGCTGGAGGAGCTCGAGTCCAGCGTCATGGGATTGTAGCTCAGACGCCGAAGGGTTCTCGCTCGAATGGAACGGGGTTTGTAAGAGGCGGAGCGTCGTGGTAGTGGCGCCTGATGCTCTAACCTCACCTGCCGCTGGATCACACCACGCTCTCGCTGTGGCTCCGAGAGAACCGGCGAAATGGGATGGAAGCTCTCGTTGAAGGATGTCGAGCGTTGACGGTATCCCTTGGATCCTATATAAACCGAACCGCTGCTGGCATTCAATCCCGACTTGATGGGCGAAGCGCTGGCCAGCATCTGCTTGGTGGCACCGTTTCCAAATCTCTCGTAGGCCAACTCATCCTTCAGGCTGGTATAGCCGCCCGTCATGACCACGGGCGGGGCGCTGAACAGGGCCTCTCCCTTGAGGGGGAAATGAAAGCTCTCCTGGGGACTATAGCTGGACTTTTGGCTGCTGCGGCGGGACAGTGAGATGTTAGTATCCCGCGAGGCGAAACCCGTGTCGGGGTGCTAGAGCGCTTGTCCTCCATTGGCTTGGGATCCGCAGGAGCGGCGGCACTCAACTGTGCCTGGTTGTGCATGTACTGAAGGTGCTTGTCCAGGTGACTGGTGGCTGCATTGAAATCAAACATGGTCTGCACCCCATTGCTATAGCTGTATACGGCAGACTTAAGGCTGCCCGTGGCACTGCTTATGCCATCGTCCAGGCTGACCAGCTGCGGCAGCTGGTCGTTGAGGATCGTGTCGTTGGAGTCGCTCTTGTCCAGCTCCGTGTATGTGTGCATAAAGTCAAGGTTAAGCGCCTTAAGGGTGTTCTCAATGTCCATTATGTTGTCGTCGATGCTCTTTTGAGGCTGCTGCTGATCCTCTTCCTCCGCTGCCCGCTCCCGTTCCAGATTCAGCGGTCTGCTGAGGATCTCTCGCGACTTCTGGAACAGGAAGTCAGAGCTCTCCTTGTCGAAGATGGGCACGCGCAGATCCGTGCTGTTCTTGATCTCGCTCAGCGAGCGAAAACGCTGCACACGGCGGATCGATAGATTGGATGGAGGTGCAAAACGAGAACAGAACCGAAAAAAAACAAAAAGCCAAACGCAAACACAAAACGGGGGAAATGAAGGGGCAACGATGGGCGAACGAGTAGAAGAAAGAGCAGAGTGTAGACAAAACTCGAGGATTAGAATCTCTCACGGCCAAGAATCGATAACCTAGCGCTACGGGAAAACTAAGTTGATCTACCCACTCGATATGCTGCTCACCTGTATATCCGGAATGCTCTGCAGCTCCTCCGTAAAGTTTTTCTTTTTGGAAAAAGGCGAGGAGTTGCCGTGTGTAGGTGTGTGGGCCGATCCGCTGGCACCGCCGCCTCCCGTTGATCCCGCCTTATCCCCTCCGCTGCTGTTACTCAAATGCGGAAACCGGAAGCTAAACTTGCGCTTGGGACTGTGGATTGCGGGCGTCTGATCAGAAACCAGGTCAATCATCGACCTAAACATGCGGAAGAAATCGGAGTCAGTTATATTCTATATATAAAACATTAAAGCAATAGATCACCTGGCACTTATCTCGTTGGCAATCTCGATGGCATGATTGAGAATCTTCTCATCCTTAACTGAAATGGGCTTTACGGTGCCCGAGGTTTTCTTCTTCGACAGCGTTGGCAACAGTCCATGGCCATGCTTGCTATTGCCATTAGTATCGCCGCTCTTTTGGGCCAGCTTGGCCGACATTTCTGCAAATTCGTTCTTACTATTCACTTGGTCGAATCCCGGCGACTTCGGCTGGCTACCCGAGGCCCCACTCATCGACCCAAACATAGAGTTAATCTCATCCAGCAGCGACGGCCCAAAGTCCAGCTTATCGGCCGTCATCTCGTCATCTGATATCTCGTGGTACTCATGCGGATCATCCGCGACACTTCGAGAGGTTGGTCGCCACCCTGCCTCGCTCGAGTGCATGCTCTTGCCATCCCCTCCGTAGTTATTGTTGTGCAGAGTAAACTCCAGCTGCTCATCATCTCCGCGGTTGAGAAAGAACGGGTTGGTGGAGCCCCCAGTGGCGAAATCGAAGGAGCTCTGACCGTTGGTGGCTATCAGCTTGGGCGTGTGCTCGGCGGATGGAATAAAGGTGGGGTTCATGGAGGTACCCATGGCACCACCTCCGCTGCTCACACCCTCCGGGAAGTAGCCACTGGCCGTTTGCAACGAATCCGGACTCGTAGGTGTCGGGGGGAGCAGGAGTGGCGTTTGCTCAATGTCTTCAGAGGGCTTATAGGGTGTCACAATCTGCTTGGGCACGTGATTGTACTAAAGAAGAAGGATTTTACCGATTAGTTAGAAAACATAAAGCTGTCTTGATCGAATACTCTTACGTTCTGCGAACTGCCAAGGAAGGCAATGTCGCCAAAAGTGGCGCCGTCAATGCCAACGTGACCGGTGTGCTTGAAGTCGTTCTGCGGCTTCGATATCATCTCTGTGCGCAGCTTGCGCTTGCTACTCCGGTGGTCGCTCACCCGGCTAAACGAGTCACGGCTGGAGCTGGGCAAGCCTTCGAGGAATGCCACCGTATTCGAGGGGTTGAAGTAGCCCGTCTTGCCAGTGCTAAGCACTCCCTTCCAGAAGGGCGTGCCTGTGTTGCGGTCCAGGACGCTGATAATGTCGCCCTGGCGATACAGTAGGTGGTCCTTCTTGGGCTCTGCACAATTGACCACCGCCTTGAGCTGTTCCGGCTTCATGTCAGGCAGCTGGTCATAGATCTCACCGAAACGCGGCCGCTTGGCGGCATCATCCTGCCAGCACTTCATCATAAGCGTGTAGTACTCGCTGGGACAGCAGTCTGGCTGTTCCAGCCGCTGGTAGTTGGGTGAGTCGATGGCCTCGAGTATCTGGAGACCGGTGAGCGCGGCCCAGGGCTGAAAACCGTAGGAAAACATCTCCCACAAGCAGACGCCGTAGGCCCACACATCGGACGCGTTGGTGAAGCGTAGGTAGTTGATGCACTCGGGCGCACACCACGCAATCGGCAGCTTTAGGTTTACATTAAAGTTGGTCTTGTAGTAGTCCTTGCCCACGCCTAGGGCCCGCGACAGGCCAAAGTCGGAGATCTTGACCTTGTCCTTGCTGAACACTAGTATATTGCGTGCCGCCAAGTCTCGGTGGATCAAGCGCTTCTGCTCCAGGTACCGCATTCCATTGCAGATCTGCAAGGCGAACTCGCAGAGAGTGGGTATGGTGAGGAAACTGACCCGCAGCCCGGAATCCTTGAGGCACTCGAGCAGCGAGCGCAGGTGGGCCAGCTCGGTGACCAGCATGAGCGAATCCGTGGCCAGGACGACACCGTACAGCCGGACGATGTTTTCATGTTCGATGGAATGCATAATGGCCGCCTCCTTAAGAAACTCCATGGGATTCGACTGCATACGCTCCCGGCACAGGCACTTGATAGCCACTTGGATCTGCCGATGGAGATGAGATTAGTAGGCTTTTGTGATAGAAGGACTTTGGGGTTCTACTACGGACTCACCCTCTCGCTGCCATTGGTCCAGACGCCCTGCTGGACGATGCCAAACTCTCCGGTGCCGAGCTGTTTGTTGACACTGATCGAGTCCGCCGGAATGATGTGCTTGTTGTTGGGCACCTTGCCCGGCGAACTGGCCCCGTTCTTGGCGGCCAGCGATGTGCCCGCGGCGGCACCACTACCATCGGTGGCCACTTGAGCCCCGCTACCGGGAGCCTCCTCCCGCTTCACCATAGTGCCGGGCGCCTGCAGCAGGCGCTTGATCTTGCTGAGGTAGCTGTGCGGGAAGTGCTTCTCATAGAACTTGCGCAACCGCCGGATTTCCGGCCGCGACAGCCCGATGAAGCGCAAATCCTCGTCCGCCGCATACTTGAACTGCGCCGCGTTTGTTATTTTCAATTCGTTTCTGCGTGGGGAAAAGTAAAAAATTAAAAAGTGAAAAGGTAGAGAATAGTGGAAGAGTGAAAAGTGGCGGGGTGGGAGCTCTGTTTCCGCTTTTTAGGTCACTCACTTGACGGCATTGTAGTACTGTTGCAGCTCGGACTCCGTGAGGAATTCGTATAAATCAATTTGTGGATACTCTGCAAGCAAGGAGAGGTATATAAAAATAAACACATTAAGTATACTATATAAAAGAGACCACACAAAACAAATCCCGGGGCCCTTATCTTTGATGTTCTTTCTGGCGTCTCGCAGAGAATGCTGGAGATGTGGGTTGTGTGAGTGGGCATCTCAATGGGAGTGTGGGAAAGGGGGAATACCCTAGGCAATAAATAACTTCTTTAACGATCGATCCGCCAACGCAGCCAGGTCTCTCTCGCGAAGATTCTTTCGTTCTTCGTTCATTTTATTTTCCAAAAATTTAAGAAAATAAAATAAGACACACCACACTCATACACACATGTGTACACCTCCTGCATACCTAAAAGTTTCCGTCCCACACAAACACACACACGCGCGAACGAAGGAGTACGTGAGCACATTGACACAAAACTCGGTGTTGTTGTTTCTGCTGCTGCTGCACCCGCATTTGTCATCCATTGTTTGTCCTCTTCGCCCCGCTTCGGAGTTGAAACAGGGTACGGGAACGGGGATATGCACACAGAGATTGCGGAGCTGATTGTGGCCCCGGGATTTGCATTGAGTCACCAATGCCGGATGCAGATATCGCCTGGCATTTTCCGGCTCCGCCCCTGTCGGTGCATTATCCGTACTTTCCCGCTTGTCCTTGAATATGCAAAATAAAATCGATCGGCCAATACATACACTCAACACACACACACACAGACGCGCACGCACTGCACAGGAAACCAGCAAGAACTACGTAGAGGGAAAAGCCACTTTTTAACAAGGTTTTCTCTGGTTTTTTAATCAACGCCGGTTAGTTCACTCCTCCCGCAGCTCAATAAGACTTTCATCCGCCTTTCAAATGCATTTTTTCTGTCAAACTTACCCATTTTACTCTCGCCTGTGCGTCTGCATTGTATTTTGTTTTTATTTTTACTCGTTTGGCTTTGGCTCAAGGCATCGATTTTGGATATCGATTGTTTCCCACTATCGATTGGTTTTAGGTAATCGAAGCCTTTTTCAAAAATAAAATTGTATGCTCTGTAAAAAACTTTTTTATGAAATAAATGGACAGCAAAGATAATTAAATATTTCATAAAATATTTATATTTATTTATTTTAAATAAAAAAGATATACACCTCAGCAATAAAATTAAGAGGTTAAAACTAATGGTTTTAAAACCGGAACTAAACTCCAACTAGTTTGTTTTCTGTTAAAATCGTTTTTATTGAAATTTTTAGAGAAATAAAAATATATTCCATATTTGCGACTCAGTGCACCGCCTATCGCACGCTGGTCACACTGGGGGTTCAAATTACCTGTTATTTCTTTTCACTTTTAAAGAACAACAAAATATTATTGTCTTTATTTATATGTATATGTTATGTATAGTATAGTTAAATACGATTATTTATAATATTCATTGCCGTTCTACAACAAAATTCCCCATAAACGACTGTGTGAATTTTAGAGTCTCCATTTCATATCTAAACTGAAATTTGAACGGTAATTATTCCTGTATGAGTGCCCATTTCAGAGTAATTTCAGTTAATATCTTTTATTCATTTACATATTGAGTACAGTATATATAAAAAAACAATGATCGCATTAAAGCGTGCATAATTAGTATTGTGGCTACTGTTGAACGGCTAATGTCTAGAACAGACGGAAGCTGCTGGGAAAAGCGGTTATCATCATGCGATTGATGACCGCTCGGATGTGCTCGTGACCCAAGGCTGCATTGATGGCGGCCAGCTCCTCGAAGTGTTCTCGGGCGCGCTTCTCCTCGATCAGCTTGACCACGCACTTATACATGCGGCCGTAGTGGGCATGGGCATAGGCGTGCCAAAGGGCGAACTGAATGGCCTTGGAGTCGGTGGCGTCGACGAACTTGATGACCTCCGTGTAGAGCTCATTGATGTCGGCCACACGATCCTTTACATTATCATCTAACACTGCCAGCTTGGCCAGGGCAATACCCTTCTTGCTAAGCGCCTCGATGAGATTATTCTTTTGCTTGTCCATGTTGCTAGTATGAAATATACTCAAAGTGTTAATTAAGTTTAGAAATTTTAACCGAAACCTTTAACTTACGTCTTAATCTTCGCCGCATCGGGACGAGTATCATTCTTGAGGCCATAGTAGGAGAGCAATGCTTCGGAATCAGTCTCCTGGATAACCTTTTCAGCCAGATTTGCAATACGCTCGAGGGCGCCGCGAATCTTCTTTTGTTCCTCTTTCTGTTTTTCGGAACCCTCTCCTACCTCCTCGAGCGACGACTTTTGAGCATTGACAAATGTCAGCGGCAGTTGTGTCTTCAGCTGCGAGGTCTCAATGCTTTGGATGAGCAGCAGGTGTGCCTGCAGGTGCTTGGGATGGGCGCCAATCACCTCGTTGTAGATCTTCTCGGCCATATCAGGTTCTACAAATGGAATCAAAGGTATAATACAAATTTAAAAGCATAAACAATTTCGATTTCATTTAAACTCACCACACTTGACGATGTGCGAGCACTGGAAGTCGCGCAAGCTCTCGGCATAATCGTCGGCGTTGGCCTTTCCCTTTTTGGGCGAGGCAGGGCAAGCACTGCTCTCCATCGGTGCATCGTTTTGAACTGTGATACCATCGCCGGCCGCTGGATTAGCCACAGATGTGGCTGCCTGGGGCGTGGCCTTCGGCTTAGTACCATTGGCAGTGACAGCAGCAGCTGCTGCAGCAGTGGAGCCGGACGGAGGAGAACCGTTGCCAGCGCCGTTAGTGTGCGTTTTCTTTTCAGCGTGGTTGAGGATATAGTGGAAGGGATGCAAGGCCACACGACGACCAGCCTCGTCCTGGGGGAAAACTAAGTTTCCGTTTAGACAGGAGCACTGGGCAGGCAGATTGGCCTTTGTGAGCCGCTCCTGAGAAATGGGGGCAATGTAGAGCACACGGGTGGCGCCTCGCATCGGTGCCGAGACAAACTTGCGACCGCCCACGATGCACTGATTGTAGTTCTCGTGGAAGTCGAGGGTGAGCACATTGGCCAGCTTGTAGCAGGCCATCATATTGGCTTCCGAGATCTTCTCCAGCAGGTCGCGCTTCTCGTGCCGTACCTGCAGGCGGACGGTGTAGTCGCCCTTATCGAGCTTCGTGTAGAAGTTGTGGGATCGGGCGTCACCGGTGGCCACAAGGGCCTTGTTCGCATCGTGCAACATCCACATCTGTGACTCGAACTCGGACTCGTAGAGCAAGTCGGTGAAGATCGGCGCATACAGGGACACCTCGGCCGCCTTGGCTATGTTCAAGTTGTAAACCAACAGGTTTTGGTACACCTGGCGTCCGTCTGGAATCACGTCCCGGGTGGCACTTAGTGGCGAGATCTTGGCCTCGGTTGGCTTCAGAACCACGGAGGCGTTCTTTAACTGCAGCTGCGGCTGCAAATCCTCCGACACCAGGGCCTCGATCTCCAGCCGGTGAATGCCATTGCCCGCATGCATGACATCTACAAGAGATTAAATTTGATTCGTAAGTTAAAAGAACGAAAAAAAGTTATTAAACCAACTCACAGGCATTTGGATTGTGGGCTTCAAGGCCACGGAATAGCAGGCTATACTTTAAGTGACTCTGCCCGAAGTTGGACCAGTACTTGGCAATGCATAGTTCCAGAATTTTGCCACCCTATGGAAAACAATGTTGGTGCTTAAAAGGATCAGGATAAAGCAGTTTCACCTTACCTTAACCTTGAAAACCGTGGTGGACTCATGCTCCGAACCGACAGGCACAATCTTCATTGTCTCCAGCTTAAGGCAAGACTGCTTAGGCAGTAGCTGGTTCGTATGCAAAAAGAACTTGCCAATGTCCTTGCCGCGATTGGGATCGGTAATCCGCATGCGCAGCTCTGGAGGAAATAACAGTTATTTAAGAGATCCTGAGCTATCTCGTGGAGTAGACTACTTACCCGCCCAGGTAGCACGTTCCGGCACGAGAATAAAGTCCCTCTGGATGGTGTTCGGTTGAAACTCGACGGTCTTGGAAGCGGGTTCAAAGACCGGGGTGTTCTGATCCGACTCCAGGACATGGGGCTGAACCACAGTAATGGGAATCTCAAATAGAGATCCCTTCTGCACACAGTCCGTGTCGAAAGCCTGAATCCTATAATTTATATAGAAGAAAACCAGTTAGGTGAAAATAACTCGGGACTTCAGAGCTCCTTACACGGCGCTATGCACACCCGGCTGCAGACCAGTTGGATCCACGCGAACCGCAATAGAACGGGTGCCGTAGCTCAAATCCAAGAAGGCTCCGCACTGCACCCATGTCTGCGAGGCTATCAGGTTTAGGCGCACATTAAAGTTAAATTTGTCCTTAGGGTCTGTAGAATAGAAATAGAAAATGCTGAGGGCCAACAACGGCTTAATCCAGAGACTCTCTACATACCCGCCTCCTTGTCATTCAAAAAGATTGGCTCAATGTTTACATTGTAATCGACAAACTTTCGCTGGACACCCTGGCGCAGATGGATTCCCTTAGCCTGATTGTTGCCCACGCGTACGGAGAACCTAAGGAGATGGGAAACGTGATTGTTTAGTTAGGAGTCCCTGAAGCTCAAATCTAATCGCCGTCACCTCAACAAATTGTCCTTGGACTGCTTGTGCTCCATTAGGTGATCGAATGCCTTCTCCACGTTCAACAGTCCATGGCCCTGGGCAAAGGGATCCACGTAGCCCAACTTGGTGGCTGTGACGCCGAGCGCTCGCTTAATACTGTAAGGCGAATACTCAATATTCTGCTGCTTCAGTCCGGATATAAGAAGCGCCACTGCGCCGGCCACATGAGGTGCGGCCATGCTTGTGCCATTCATCAGCTGGGACTTGGCCATGGTGAACTGCGGTACGGATGCAATGGCACCGCCCGGAGCGCACACTGTCACACCCTGGCCGCCATCTATGCAGGGATCCCGCGATGTCCAAGTGTAGACGTTGCCAGGCAGCTTCTCTCGCATCGCATACTCGGCCTCCATCATCTGGGGCGACACATAGGCGCCCACTCCGATTAAACTGGGCTGACTGATGTCCGGCGGAGTGCCCACAGTGCAAAGCGCAGGGCCATGGTTGCCGGCCGAGGCTACCCAAACGACGCCGTATTTGTTGACTACCTCGTTCATCAGTTCCCCAATCCGGCTACATGAGATTAGAGAAAGATAAGGAGTCATTAGGGGTACAGTTTAAGCAACTCTGTCGTCAGCGTGAAGTGATGTGTTTGCTGGAGATTGGATGGCGGCTGGAGTGTATCGGAGACAAGAGGATTGGTGTGTGGAGAGTTTTCGGATATCTTATATCTGCCATTTACCTCGACGCACCCATCTTCTTTCGCCTGCGACGCACTTCACCCGATTCCCTAAAAGACAGCCACAATTCTGGGATTAACTCTAACCAAGACCATGACTTTCTTACCCGGAATTTGACCAGTTGGCGTGCTCGCCATAGCTCATGTTGATCACGTCAATGGGCCTGCCGTCGCGGCACAGCTCCATCACCTTGGTCATGGCCCGCACTAAGGCCGTACCTGTCTCCATGGAGCCCAAACGCCCATCTCCGATGGTCATCGATACGATCTTTGCATTGGGAGCTACGCCGTCCACGTCCCGTGAGCTGTGGTTACCACTGGCAATGGAGGCAACATGGGTACCATGGGGTGAACACATGCCCACCACCTCCAGCACGTTGCCCTCATCGTGCACGTTCACAGATATGGACAGAAAGTCATCCACATTGCGGGTTTCGTGCGTAAGCGAGTACTCGCCGATGCGTAGAGCCTGATCCAGATCGCCCTTCTCCGTGGTATCAATAATGGTCAGCCAGCCGTTAGCCGTGGGAAAGAGGAGGCAGTCGTAGGAGGTCTTGATGTCGCCATACATCTTCTCATAGCTGTTAAGCATCTCCAGCTCAAAGTCTAGGTTCTCTTTTACAATCTTCTTGTCCCAGGGCAGCTTGGAGGCTTCCCCTGGTGGGAGGATTCATGGATTACTCAGTTATAATTGGGAGAATGGATTGTTGGCTCACCTGGGTTTTGTGACTCAAAATCGACAATCTTCCGATTGACGTTCGCGGTGGCCGTCTTGTGCGGCTTGTCCCAGTTCTTCAGCTTAGCCTGGGCAATAATATTGTTCCTCACTTTACTGGGCACCAGATCGCTTAAGCTCTTCAGGCCCACGCGCACTGTCTTGTCGGGATCCGTGTTTAGGGACAGCAATTCCTGACTTAGTTTAAGGGTGTTGCCAGAAAGTCCCTTCACGTTGCCGTTCTCGTCCGGCGTCACCTTTTTCTTCATGTCGACGTCGCCGCAACCGGAGCAGTCGTAGCGCTCGATCACCTTCACCGTCTTGCCATCGCAAAGTGTCTGTATCCGAGCCGAAATAACAATTAGCCGCCGTTCGCTTGGTGCTGCAAAAAAAAATGCCAACTCACCTCAAGTCCCGTTGCCCGAGGATCCACACCGGAGTCGAAGATGGCAATGGTGACGTCGCGGCCATCGTAGTCCGGATACTTTTGCAAGAAGTTCAGCACCCCCGTCTCGGCCTTGGGCACCAGGGCGCCCGTGGGAAATGACTCGACAATACCGCTTGTGGCCATACTCATGCTCCTGTTCTCCGCTGATTTGTGGCTCTCGTTGTTGTTGCTGCGCTGAGAACACTTTGCAAATTCTTTTCTGCTAGCTGTTTTTGGAGAATCGAAGGGGGGTTCAGTGTGACCGGTATTGGTTTGCATAAATAGCTGACACTGCATCAGTGTTGAGCAGATAGCTATGATAGATATTACAATTTTTTTCAATATAAGAATACTCTAATATTTGAGAAAACTGATGATCGCTCAAACATATAATACTAAAAAAAGAAGAATCAAACTATAAGACCCGAAGTAAGTTACATAGATGGACCTACTCTTTTCCTTAAAATGATTTATATAGATAGGTATAGTTGCTATTCATATGATACATATACATAAAATTTAAATTATACCAAGTTGGAAGATGACATGTCTATACGCCTCCCACAAGAGTACAAACATGATCTCATCTTTGGCAGATAAAATATCTAGCCTACATAACATATAAAAACCATAACGAGCGAAATTGAGATGTACCATAAAAATAAATAATATTTTTAAAATTCATATTCATTTCATTCATGTATATTTTGTGTAAATCACTAAAGCCGAAGGTGCAGATATTTAGGTACGCAAAGATATTCTGGCCCGCGTTAAGTCACAATTTACAAGTGAACTGTTACTTTTGACTAGTTAACTGCCATCTCTAGTAAACCGATAACATATTAATGGACTACCTATCGACACCTGAAACTTCACCTTTTTGTGGGATATTTGGAACGGTCGAGACGCGGTCACACTGTCTGGGTGTCTTGTTGAAAAAATCATAACAAAACTTATTTTCCCGTCAAGATGTGGTTTGAAATCCTACCTGGCGCCGTGATCATCACCACTCTCCTGTCGGTGCCCATATACGCCATGTACGGCCTGCAGAAGGTCACGATTGGCAATGTGAGTTTGATGGTCGCTCTCTGGCCGAGTAGTCGGAAGTTCTTATATAATCGCTGTTGGTTGTGCACAAAACGGATTTTGTTTAACATAATTGCGCCACGCACTTGTCGCCAAGAGTTTGCCTGGATGCCGGTTAGATTTCTGCGCGATTTCTGATATTTTTCGTATACTCCACAGGCCTTCCGTCGCAACATGGACGAGCGTTTCAGCCGAGTGATGTACCAGCGCGATTTCCGACTGACCGACAATCCCTATTTGATGAACGTAAGTGATATGTTGTAATAGTTTAATCTCTTGGCCAGTTTTCAACAACAGTTGGCCAGCATTGGTGTTTGCTTTTTCACGGTTTTATTCTCGTTTTTGATTTCTTGTTGCACGGTTTGTGTTTTATTTTATCACACAGTCATCTCCAAAATTATTCATTCACATTAGGTACAATACATAAATTATGGTTTATATATTCAATAGAATTGCACGCAATACTATAAATTTTGCAAAAGGCTCAGAAATTTTGTTTAATTGTATTTCATATTTAAATCGGGCATTTGTTATTTTAAATTAAAAAAAATAAATCATAGGCTCAGGGAGGAGAGCGATGATCTTCGGTTCGAACTGGACTACAGACAGTTCTTTCCGACCATACTATGTACGGCTCAACTCTCCGAACACAAAACTAAACTTAAAACACGTCAAATTAACTAAAAGATTGATGATTGGCCGATGTCATTGGAAATATCAACAAGTTTCGATAATTCATCGCATTTAATATTTTCCAATCTCTGGTCCATCTCTGTTGGTCGACATTTTCCAACACTGCTTCAATACTTAAACATTAAAATATTTTTTCAAGCCCCAAAAACTGATATCACAAAGAGATTAAAAAAGCCTAAAATGAAAATAAAGTCAAAAGTAATTAAATTAAATATTGAGTAACTCAATTATCAATATTAAGCCTCTTAGCAAGGTGATAAAAAAAAATAAAAAAAAATGTTTATTCAAGGTAATTTTTCGAAATGGCGCAGAATATATATAGTCACTGTGATAACATATAAATATATTGAATATTATAAATATTTTATTTTAATAGATCTCTCATATAGTAAATCCTATTATAACATTACAAATTTTGCAATTTTTATATATTTTACAGATTTTAAAGTATTTTCATGATCATAAATATTTTCGTTTTATCCTATTCCTTATCTATGATTTTAAATCTCATCTTATTCCAAAACTCATCAGTTTTTTAGTTTACTAACACTTGTTTTATTTTCAAAAATAACCCAAATTGCACGTTCATTGTCTAAGCCTTTAGACCCAAACTCCTCTATAAAGAACGATTCTGATTTCCTTGCAGGGTCTCGATGCCATACCGGATGAGAAAAAGAACTAGTTTGAATTAAGTCAAGTTTTTCTTTAAGCTTAAGGGCAAAAGTGAATAAACAATGCGTTTAGTGCGAAAGTGATAGTTAATTTGGTCGCCTGTTTAGAGTTTTTCCTGTAGTTTCCCTCTTATTTCCGCCTTCTGTGTACTGAGCCATTTCTTTCTAGGGGCTCGAACAAATTCCCGATGAAGAGGAGGAACAGAAAGATCAACAGGAATGCGATGACTACGAGGATCCTAAGCTCTTAAAGCAACGTAAGAAGGAGGAAAAAAGAGGGAGAAACAGCTAAGGGAAGAGGAAAAGAAGCAGAAGGCGGCAAAGTAATAACAGTAAACATTTCGGCTTCACAGTTCCCAATTAGAATAAAGGACTCTCGGCATTTGCCGCGCATTTAACAACCCTGTTCTTGTGTGTGCCAGGAAACCACCCCTAAGGGATAAATATGGGTGGCTAAAGCCTCCCATCCGTCGTCAAACTCTGTGTGGTATTCGGTGAAAAGGCGTCGTCGACGTAGTCGAGCAGCGAGCGCGCAAATAAACACAAATTTCACCGACTAACTTTAATTAATAATCTCGGTTAAATGCGGGCAGAGAGTATAGTTTAGTATTTATCTGTGAAATGAGTGATTTTGTGGATGCTTGTAAGAGTTCCCTGTAGAGTTTGTTGAAAAAAAAACAAGGCATATACAGAAAACACCAGCAGCCATGGCGGCCGGGCAGTGGTTGGGGGTGCATGAGGGAATTGTGGGTGGCAGGACGGCAGGAGCTTCGACTGCCATATTGCTGTGCGTGCTTTTGTTTACCAGCGCCACGCACGCGAGCTCCCTAAACGCCATCGAGGAACCCGTCACCCGGCGCCACCACCAACGGCATCACGAGCGGGAACGGGAGCAGCAGCAGCGCGAGGAGAGCGGCTACTGTGCCCCGTATAATGGTAAGGTGTGCAAGCAATACATAACCGGTCAGGTGTGGTACAGCCTGGAGGATCCCACGGGCGGCTGGAAGAACGAGCAGGTGACCACTGCGCTCTGGGATGAGTTGATATCAGATCTTTCGGGCCTGTGTCGCGAAGCTGCCGAGGTGAGTTGTTTATAGTCTGTTTCCTTAAATTCTAAAGGTTAACTTCTATTTCTGCAGAAAATGCTCTGTGCTTACGCCTTTCCCAACTGCCATTTGGAGGGTCCTGGTGGTCGGGCTGTGAAAGCTCCACTCTGCTTTGAGGATTGCCAAGCCACGCACTTGCAGTTCTGCTATAACGACTGGGTGCTCATCGAGGAGAAGAAGGAACGCAACATATTCATCAAGAGCCGAGGCCATTTCCGGCTGCCCAATTGTTCGGCCCTTCCGCACTACAACGCCTCCGTGCGACGGCCCAATTGCTCTTACATTGGCCTAACCGAGCTCAAGGAGTCGGAAGTGAGCTGTAAGTTCATGAATCCAGATTCGAATAAGCGACCTTTAACCACACAACGAAATTTTCTGCAGATGACTGCCGCAATGGTAACGGACGTTTCTACATGGGCACAGCAAATATGACGAAGACAGGGATTCCTTGCCAGCGTTGGGACACTCAATACCCCCACAAGCACATCCAACCGCCGCTGGTCTTCCATCAGCTTCTGGAGGGTGAGAACTACTGCCGCAATGCAGGTGGCGAGGAGCCGCATCCCTGGTGCTACACGGTGGACGAGTCAGTGCGCTGGCAACACTGTGACATACCATTATGTCGTAAGTTCTTTGATTATATATCATTCAAGCTTAACCCTTACTTGGTTATCCTTTCAGCGGATTATGTGGACCCCAACGCCGGCGATATGAACACTCCCATTAAAATGGAAAAATTCTTTACGCCCTCAATGATCTTCCTGCTGGCTGGCATTGGTTTTGTGGCCATTGTGCTCCTGCACCTAATGATCCTGCTCGTCTACAAGCTGTCCAGGCACAAGGACTACTCCCAGCCCGCGGGAGCTGCCACCAATGAGTGCAGCATCTCTATGCGGGGCATAGGAGAGTGTGGCGCTAATTTAAACACCAGTCGGGAGACCCTGGGCGGCAATGCAAACACCAACACCTTAGGCAAGTGGGGCACCATCCGGAGCACGGCCACCGTGCACAGCAACTGTGTGGCCCTCACCACGATCACCAAGGAGGAAGCAAAGGGCACCAAGCAGAATGCTCGTCTCGAGAAGCTGGAGTATCCACGCGGCGAAATAGTATATGTGAGATCCCTGGGACAAGGTGCCTTTGGGCGCGTCTTCCAAGCCAGAGCTCCCGGACTGGTGCCCGGCCAGGAGGACCTGCTGGTGGCCGTGAAGATGCTCAAAGACGATGCCAGCGATCAGATGCAGATGGATTTCGAGCGCGAGGCTTGCCTGCTGGCCGAGTTCGATCATCCGAACATTGTCAAGCTGCTTGGCGTGTGTGCCCTGGGTCGGCCCATGTGCTTACTGTTCGAGTACATGGCCCCCGGCGATCTCAGCGAGTTCCTGCGCGCCTGCTCACCGTATGCCACTCACCAGGCGCCAAACCGTGATCGCTTGCAGCTCAACGAGCTGCACCTGCTCCAAATGGCCGCTAATATAGCGGCGGGCATGCTGTACCTTTCGGAGCGCAAGTTCGTTCACCGGGACTTGGCCACAAGGAATTGCCTGATCAACGAGCATATGGCAGTAAAGATTGCCGACTTTGGGCTGTCTCACAAGATTTATCTGCAGGATTACTACAAGGGCGACGAGAACGACTTCATCCCGATCCGCTGGATGCCGCTGGAGAGCATACTGTACAACAAGTTCTCCCTGGAGTCGGATGTGTGGGCCTACGGCATCTGCCTGTGGGAGATATTCTCCTTTGCCCTGCAGCCGTACTTCGGCCTGACCCACGAGGAGGTTATCAAATACATCAAGGAGGGCAACGTCCTCGGGTGTCCGGACAACACACCGCTCTCTGTCTACGCCCTGATGCGTCGCTGCTGGAACCGCAAACCGAGCGAGCGGCCGGGCTTCGCTGAGATAAACCACTGCATCCAGCACAGCATCGCCGAAAGCGAGTGCAAGGCAATGCTCTAGAGGAATTCTCAAAAGATAGAGAGAGAGGAAAACGAAACGAATCCGTGCATCACACAACGTTCGTCCGCTGTCTTCCGGGCATTCAATAGAACCATATACATATATACACACACACAAACACACAGGGTGATTGGAGATGACAGAGCTATCTTAGGGGGAAAATGTAATTTATTATTCCCCGATAAGATGCCTTGTCCCCTACATTTACTCCAGTGTATTTTCGCACATTTTTATACTAAACCTATATGCATATTGATTTGAATTACCGCAGCAATAGGCGAGATCAGAGGGATGTTGTGATTAAGTTAGTTTAAAGACCACTCCATATCTTTAGGGAAACGCTTCCAAACTAAGTCTTTTATCGGATTCGGATGCTTCCACACCACAAAACTTTTGTTTTGAATACTCTACTCCCTGCCCTCTGATCTGTCGGTCAGCAATCGATTAGTCTGCCACAACAACGAACGCATCAGCAACGTCTCGTGTACTCATATCTAGTTCGTAGTTTAAGTTTATTAACATATAGATGCGCATATGTAGATTGCATTTTAATGGGATTCATTTCTGACTAGGCCTAAGCACTGCCATCGGAGCACACTCCGCAAGGAAGGAGCCACACACCGGAGACCATCAAAACAATAAGGAATACATGAGATATGGAATATTTAGAGAACTGTCTATAGCCCGAACTTTCTGGGGTAACTTTACATAATCTTTGTAACTACAAAACAAAACGTGTTGAATGTAATTTGTATAAATAAACCATCCATAATCGTAACAGAAATATCAGCAATAGTAATAGTTGTAGTAATAGTCGCCGTAGTAGCAGCGGTTGTAGGTGGCAGGGTAGGGAACGGGAACGGGCACAACTCCGGCATAACCAGCATATCCAGCAGCAAATCCTCCGTATCCTCTATAACCTCTATAGCCGTAATTTGGACGGGCTCCTCCCCAGTAACCTCCACCTCTTGAGCCGCGTCCTCCAAATCCACGTCCAAAGCCAGGACCTCTGCCTCCAAAGCCGCCTCTGCCACCAAATCCTCCACCTCGTCCGCCCCCGAAGCCCCCACCGCGACCTCCTCCAAATCCTCCAGCATGACCGCCTTCGCCATGACCACCGCCGCCGCCGCCTCCTCCTCTCGCCTCAGACATGTGCCAGAGGGTCAGGAACAAAGTTGCACACACCAAAATCCACAATCGGGACATCTTTGCCTGCTCAGAACCTTATCGATCCGTTCGTCAATCACGACTGACTTAGAATGTCTGGGAAATTCTGTTTATTGCCAACTAATTAGGACGCCATCGCTAATTAAAGAAGGTACTGAAAGTCCCCGATCGAGTTAATCTTATTTGTTTCTGTATTTGCATATTCCTCTCTCAGCACTCACACACTCCTCTCCTCTATATCACAGCAGCCTAAACGATTAGGCATCCAATGGGATTTTGTTCCTTAACCAAATGAACTTAAATATATGTATATGTAGATGGGGATAGGGATGATGATGCTTTGCTTCTCTCACAGAGCCTCGGGGCAGTTCTTGTTTTTGCTGATGATCAGCCTTTCTGGATCTAGGGAGAGTCGCTTCAGCACATCGTAGACCTTGGAGCGAATGTCCACCTCAAAGTCCCGATCACGTCCCAGAATCCAGATCTGATCGGAGTGGCCCAGGGAACCGATGCTGCCGCAGGACCACAGAATGGCAAAGTTCTCGTAGTCCGTGTAGAGTACCTGGTACTTGCCAGAGCCCGGTAGGAGGCGGGCGATCACGTCCGGAAAACGAGTGGTAAACTGGGAAAAATATTGAATTAATAATAAATAATTTAATTTCATTTACGAAGCAAACTTTTACCTTGAAATCCATGATGGAGGATCGACTATTTTCAGGAGTGGCATATCCAATGTTTACATTTGGATTACCAGTTCTGAAAGGGATACAAAAAATATGAGCTTCTTATGCGGATGAGGATAGTGTATGATGCCACTCACATGCGATTGATGTTCTTGATGGCCACTGCCAATTTAAAATTAGCGAACTTGGACTGTTCTGCTTTATTGTACGGCTGAAATTGGAAGGTAGTGCAGCCGGAGGCGATTTCCGGCAGATAAAATGAACGCTCCACTTCATACCAATGACCAAGAACCTGCAAGAGAATCAGATATTTTCTCTCATAAAAGATTGATTAAGTTCAGCAGAGCAAATCCTTATTAATTAAACCAATATCTTGCAACCTTAAAACAAGCTAATTGTGTTAGTTTTTATTGGTTTGGATAGTTAATAGTTGTATATAGCTCTGAATACATGCATCTGTTCTAAATGGCAAATGGTAGAAAACATTTTATTTTTTCTTAATAAACCGTCTGGTTTCTACACATGTTCTTTATTTGCATTGGAGTTATCAATACTTTTCATTGTTATTGACACCATAGTTTCATTGTTATCTCAGGCTTTTTTATCAAGCATCCGGCATATGGAACCGAGCCAGAAGACTGAGAACTCAGACTTGGCAGAGACATTGTCACCTAGCAGCGTTTCTTTCGGTCAAGAAATGCCAAAGTGGGTTACTAATACGACGACCTAAACAATGCGTAAAACATAAACATTTTTTTTTATTTGAAACTGGTTTCTTGGCTGCTGGCCCATTGAGAAGAGCTTCCGCCGCACTTTTGGCAGGCGCTGCTCTCTCATCTTAATGCAGTTCAAAGTCGCAGGGCGCCGCGGATTTAATGACCAGTAGCTGGCATTTAACCAACGAGCCGAGGTCTTTGCCCCGGGTCAACTGTGGGCGAGGATGACAAGTGGCTTAATTCACGCCTATCAACAGCTCAATGGGTTGGTGTGCCACTTGGAAGCAGAGACCCGCCACATAATTGGAGTCACAGATACGGCGGCGGGTACGATTATGGTGCATTATCATTTATGCAAATCAAGGCTTAATCAATTTAACTTAAGCTGAAAATTGATGGAGCCAATTTTCTAGTCTATGGCCACAGTCTCTAAATTAACAGCATAGCTCTAGCATGACTCAGTCAACTAAATGCCACAATGAAATCCACCTTAAAAATTCTTAGAAATACAGAAAGTCTCGGAAACTGGGTTTATTCCAAAAAGAAATTTACGAAATTTGTTATTTCTTACAACAAGGCGTTGTAAAAATTCGAGCTTTATGCGAACAATTTCGAAAACTCTTGTTATTAGTAGAAAAAAATTTAAAAAAAAAATACAACTAATTTTTTCTTTCTTCAGGAACATGAAAAGAAGTTAGTCTATAAAAAAGTTAAAGTTTAATATTTAAGTACTAAAATTTTTTTTTTTTTTTTTCAAATTATTAAAAAAAAATGCAACTTGTGCGCTGTGTTCCAATTAGGGATGCTCGACTGTGGTTCACTTTGTTGTCCTTGGCATGCCCATGTCTCTCGACTTTGCTACTGGTTGATTTACTTCTTTATAAACTAAGTGGTTTGTTTACCATTGGACAGGCCATAAAGCTTTTGTGCCTCTCGTCTCCTTCTGTAAAACAGGTTTTGCATTTTACACAGCGGATCTCGGATTGGTGGCCTTAAATTGGTTCAAGTTCATCTTATGCACAATCCACGAAATAAAATGAAGAAAGGTCTTCTCCGACGCCTTGTGCTAATTAATCGGAGATGTGACTGTTTTGAGGGTTGATGGCGAATAACCGATGACACTGCGGAATTTACACCGCATATTAATGTTGTAAAAATGGAGGCAAGTGTGGTTGGTTAAATGACGTTTATAGAAAAGTTTAAGGATCACTAGCGCTGTATATTTTTTCTAATTTGTTCACGACCTTTTGATCTTTGTAAAAACGGGTTTAAAACCAATGGCTTTATTGCACATTTTACAAGGCATTTGACTTTTAACCTTTATTAGTAATAGATGATTATTTATTTTAGAACTGGAAGAACAATAAATTACACATTTTAGCCTTTGATCTGTGTAGATAAGTACATATAAGGCAACCCCATATAATTCTAATGGAATGAATATTATTTAAGGAATGCTTTGCCTTTGAATATTCTTAACCTAATTAAAGCTAATGGAATGCACTTCCGGCTTTATCACTTACCCTGCTCATGTTGAACTTTGGCATCGATGGGTAATTCGGGCAACGTCCAAATCCATAGGCCCTTGTCTCCGTAAAACTTAGTAGTAAAACTCCGGACAAAAGCCAAAAACCACTCGTCACGACCGACGACGACGTCAGTTTGCCCATAATTGTTTGTTTGTTTGTTTTATTGTTGAGTTCACTTTGGATATTTGACACTAAAATGAAGAGAATTGGCACGGCGGCGTTGATTAGCACCCACTATCAAGCTGTATAGAATTCGAAATTGGGTATTATTTCCATTGAGTCCAACTTGGATATGCACACAGTGACGGGTTCACTTGGCCAACGAACTGCGGATTAACATTTTATACATTTCCTCAAAAAGTAACCGCGATTGTTTATTCCGCAGGGGAAGTGCTGTGCGATAATGAAATCGTGCTGGCTACCGTCGTACCGGCTTTAAACCTGGAGACTGAAGTGGTCAAGAAGTGAAAACCACAAAACTGGGTTTCGCGGTGGCTATTTATTTATTTACACTTCACTTCGGATTTGGCTCGTGCTCGGCCAGCGCTGTCGCGGCGGGTTACGTAAAGGAAAAGCCAGAGCCAAACTGCAGGCGAAAGAAAACGGGTTGCGAAAAGCATATATTGCGCATTGCAAAAAAATAAAAAAAAAAAAAAAAAAAGAAAACCGGGGAAAAGCGAAAAGGCCTAATCAAGGAAATTCCGACCGGAATGCATCAATTGTGTCATGGAGTTACTCGGGTGCATCGCTCGATTTATAAACATGCACGTATGTATGTACATTCTCTGTACATGTTTGTTCAAGCGCATCAAGTTCAAGACAACTAGGAAGTCGGTTTTATTTTCACGACTTTACAGCATTACAGCATGAAAAAATATATCAAAACAATTAGAGGCGGTGATGGGAAAAAAGGTAAAAGGTTTACTCACACAAAATGTGCAACATCGTTTTGAAAACTGGTTTGCAGTTCAGTAGAACTAAATCGCAGTGAAAGAAATTACAAGGAAACTTTATTACACTTTTGTGCATTGTCGATCCTTAATGAAATCTATCTAATTTAATAAATAGATGAATATATTAAAATAGGAAAGATTATTTTCTTTGTCATTAATTTTCTTATCTGTTATATAAACTATAAATTCTCATCTAAATGTTAACTTTACCTTCTATCATAAAAGAATGCATATTTATAATTTATAAAAGCAATTTCTCTACCTAATAAAAACTTATTTTATCAGATTGCAAATAAGTTAAGAGATAAAATATAATATCACAGAAAGTTTCTAGTTCAAATTGTTTTAAATATACATAAACCCATTACAACATCAAAGAAAATCAAAGGTCTTGTGCTAAGTAACTGGGAAAGGGTTCATAACGAGTACCTAAATATGCAGTCTCGGTACAACTCAGAGATACCTCCCATCACTGCCAATAGAAAGGGTGTTAATTTCACAGAAAACGGCAGCCACAACATCACAAGTGGCACAAAACAAAATAAGCCAAGCCAAGGCAATTGCAAAATCCACTTGTTGTCCAGCTGATTTCACTTTGTGCACAAACAGTGCCGTGCCGTGGCCGAGCCCGTCTCGTTTCGATTCGCATCTGTATTTTATGTTCCCGTGTGTGTACAGCTAATATTAAATGTCATCTCTTTGTTTACATCGTGGCTGCTGCTGCTGTTGCGGCGTTCTTTTTGCATTCGGAGTTTTATTTCGCCAACTCGATCTCGGATCGCGACGGAAATGCGGATCGCTCACATTGATCAACCAACCGCCCGGGACAACCGTTGAAACTAAAATGAAGCTGCGGAATTTAAATTGAATTCAATTTCAGTTTTATTCGCGCAAATGGCCACACTACTGCTGCCTAGCTTATTGTTAATATTTTATCGATAGAAGGTACCACAAACCACCTAAAAAATATTAATTAAATTTAAAAATATAGCAGTTTATAATTCAAGATCTTAAAAATAAAACAATATTTTAACACCCTTTTTTTAGTTTAGAACTTATTGAAATATTTGTTTATGATTTTGGAATACTACAAACGATAGTTGCCAGTCACAGTGACACATCCGATCGGCCAAAGCTACCCACCTCTAGCAGGCAGTGAAATGCCAAAGGCAATCGTAAAATAATTTTTTTTTCGTTTCCCTGCAACGTTTACGCATGTTGTTTTCGGAAACTAAGACTTTTTGTTAATAAAAGACAGGACCAGTGTCAGTTAGAACTGTAAGTTGGGGTTTCTTGCAGTCCGAGCGACCCCAAAGAGCCCGTTTATTCACCTCAATTTGCCTTTGCCCTTTGTTCATAGTTCCAGTGATTTACACACTTTCTCGCCCACCTCTCGCAATTCGTGATCTGCAGGTAAAAATGGATACGGAGAAGTCTAGCAGCAGCTCCTTCGAGGACCTGACGAATGCCGAGGACACCAAGGACATCCGAAAGGTGACGGCGGAAGCCGCTACCGGGGATGGCGCAACCACCTCGACGGACCTTGGCGAGGAAAAGACGTCAGCTGAGGAGTCAGAGGCCGCAGTGGAGGGCGAGGACGAATGTGATATTCTGGGCAACAAGCAGTTGATAAAGCGAATCATCAAGAAGGCGCCAAAGGGAGCTAATCAGCCGAGTCGCGGCTTTTTGGTGACCATTAACTTTACCGGCAAACTGGATAACGGCAAGGTGGTTGAGGAGGAGAAGGGCTTCCAGTGCCACATTGGCGACTTTGAGGTAGTCCAGGGCCTGGACATGGTGCTGCCCATGATGCTGGTCGGTGAAGTGAGCCAGGTCAGCGTGGATCCCCGCTTCGGCTACGGTTCCATTGGTCTGAAAAGGGAAGGAGATTCCGAATTCGTTGTGCCACCCGACTCGAATGTAAGTTTCGACTAAAATTTATAAAGAACAATCTTAACTGACCCACATATTGCAGCTCACCTACGAAATAGAGCTTTTGGACAGCAAATACGAAGACTTTGCGGATCTGAAGAGCTTCGAGTTACTGCGCAAATATGGGTGTGTGTCTGACTTGTCACCTGCCATATGGCTGAGATTTAGTTAATTAAAACAAATTACTCTTTTAGAACCCGCAAGAAAGAACGTGCCAACTTCTTCTACAAGCGCTTGGAGTTTAATACTGCCATTCATCTGTACAGGCGGGCCTTGGACTATCTGGATACAAGAGACGGGGATCCCGAAGCCGAACTACTTAAGGAAGATCTGCCGGTAAGTACTAAACAATCGTGTTGACCTTTAACTTGAATTCCCTGATTAGTTTTCAAACAGCGATATGCAGACCCTGCTGGAGGATCGACTAATTGTGTATAACAACCTGGCCATGACCCAAATCAAAATCGCCGCCTATGACGCTGCACTGACGTCGGTGGAGCATGTCCTGCGTTGCCAGCCGAACAATTCCAAGGCCCTCTATCGCAAGGGCAGAGTAAGTGCCTAGTTTATCATTCACTTAAGTTCAATATAATCAGGCTGTTCATTCACCAGATATTAGAGGGCAAGGCTGACACACAGGGCGCGATCAAACTGTTGCAGAAGGTGGCCACTCTCGAACCGGAAAACAGGGCCGTTCAGTCGGATTTGGCCAGGCTTTTCATCAAGGCTCGCCGCGAGGAACACAACGAAAAGGAAATGTACCAGAAGATGCTCGGTCAGGCCAAGAAAATGGAACAAAAGACTGCCACCAGACAAAAGCAGCCCCTTGTAGACAACTCTAAAGTAACATAGCCCTAGTAATCTTTTATTTCTTTTAAATTAAAATTCTAATAATTTTATATTTTTTAGCTTAAGCTGCTGGGTTATCTGATGGGAACCATATTGATTGGCGTGGCCGGTGTCGCCATTTATCGTTACAAGTACTAAGGACAAGCATTGCACATGAACTATTGGATTATTTTAAGCAATTTGAATGCATTTTTTAAGGAACATATATACATATATATGTATATATTACATAAAAAGCAAAATTATGAATGTTGGAAAGCCGCATTTGCTTATTATATCGATATATGGCTCTTGTTGTACATCTAATCCTATGCACACACACACACTTCACTGTAGTAGTATGGTATGGTTCTGGTAGTAGCGTACATATAATGTTAAAGCTTAATTTTTAATCAAACATTCTGTCAGTCGAGTACCGGGAAACGTTGAATAAAACCCTTAATTTTCATTTGATTCTTCAGACTTTTTTTTAGTTTTTCTATAATCCATTAAAACGTTTGTTGGCCCATCAAGTGCCATATGGAAATAGAGATTTGATAAGATAAAACGCACAGTAAAGATTAGCAAACTAACTTTGAAATAAAGGGAAACGGTATTAAAAAGTTGATCAGATCTAAAAAATTTTTGATTGTAGAAATCGGAACATCCGTTCGGGAGATACATATGTCCAATATGCTTTAATTCTATCGCTAATACTAGAATGTTTAGTGATAAGGCGAAAATAAATTGTGCTGATTCATTGTTTATGATAATCTCCACATGACAATAGCCGACTTCGTTATTTTCAAGGCTGTAGCTAGGGGGTCACAAGGAGGCCGCTTCTTACGCCATTAATATAGGATTTATTTAAAAGAAACTTTACATTTAATTAGGTTGTTAAATGTAAAATTTAGTTCAACTTAAGCGTGTGATGAATGCATGTAAAAATATCTTAGGTGATAATCGAAAACAGTTGTATTTCTGACGGGTAGTTATACTGAGAAAAATATTATTAGTCTCCCGTAAAAACAGTTGGTTCTAATATTTATGATTTGTCTGGAAGCTTTGTTATTTATTTATACCTAGGACATTGATTTTAAAGAAAAGCCACGCCCTCAGAAGTACGAATTACACGTGTGATAGAGTTTGTAATTCCACTTCAAAAAGTAATTTTTATGGCTTCCAGCTTTACATTGGCTGCCCACCCCTGCTGAAAATGGATATAGAAACCATAAAAATATAGTCTTTAAGATAAAAACACTTTTATTTTGTGGGTAAAATGTACAAATCCATGATCTAGCGATCTAACAATACATATATATACGCTGTGTAATTTAAGCCTTGGCAGCAGCAGTAAGAGCCTGTTCCAGGTCCTTAATCAAATCTTCAGCATCCTCGAGCCCCACAGACAGGCGGACAAGACCGTCGGTGATTCCCAGCGTTTTTCTATCTTCAGCGGGCACAGAAGCATGTGTCATCACGGATGGCAGCTCAGCGAGACTCTCGTATCCGCCCAGACTCTCCGCCAGTGTAAACACCTTGAGGGCCTTCAGGAACGCTGTGGAGTGTTTCAGCTCGCCCTTGATGTAAAACGAGAATACGCCGCTGTAGCCGTAGGTCTGCTTCAGAGCGATCTGGTGCTGGGGATGCGAGGGCAAGGCAGGATGCAAAACCTTCTCCACGAACTGGTGGCTATCCAGATACTTGGCAATCTTCAGGGCATTCTTCTGATGCTGCTCCATGCGGAGCGACAGGGTCTTCAGACTCCTATTCACCTGGTAGCAATCGAAGGGAGAGGGCACAATGCCCACTGCGTTCTGCAGGAACTTCAGGCTCTGGTAGAGCTTCTCGGAGTTCATGGTGATGCCACCCATCACCACATCCGTGTGTCCGTTCATGTACTTGGTCATCGAGTAGCAGACAAGATCGGCTCCCAACTCCAGGGGCCGCTGGAAGTAGGAGGTGAGGAAGGTGTTGTCCACCGCCAAGATTAGGTCCTCTCGGATGCCATGGACTAGTTTGGCGATAGCCTCAATGTCTGCCACCTTGATCAGCGGGTTTGTGGGAGACTCGATCCACACCAGCTTGGTTTCCGGCTTAACGGCAGCCTTAATGGCATCCAATTTGGTTGGATCCACGAAGCTAGCTGAGATGCCCAACCGAGTAGCAACCTGACGGATCAGACGGTTGGTTCCTCCGTAAACATCATCGCCCATGATGATGTGATCGCCGCTGGACAGCATGGTCAGCACAGCGGTGGTGGCTCCCAGTCCCGAGGAGAAGGTCAATCCGTACTTAGCATTATCCAGGGATGCGAAGCAGGTCTCCAGTACATTCCGGGTGGGGTTACCGCTGCGAGAGTACTCATAGCCTCGGTGCTCACCTGGAGCATCTTGCTTGAAGGTAGTGCTCAAGGAGATCGGAGGGATCACCGAGGCACTCTTCCATTGCTCGGGACTCTGGCCTGAGTGGATGGACTTGGTGGCGAAGCCGCTCGGCTGGGTTTTGAAGCTCATCTCTGGTCTCGGATTAAACACAACTGACACGTGGGAGCGATCCGTCCGGAATATATATTCGGAATGGAATCTGCCGACATATGTTCTTGCCTAGACAGAGTTGCCAGCACCGCGATATCGCCCACAGGCGCTATACTTTCACCGACAGAACAGCTCCTTCAGCTATTTTGTGGCCAGTTTTATAGATTTTAGTTTTAAAAATGTTATAGTTTAACCTCAAACCCTTTTTATTTTTTAAATGATTATTAATTATTTTATTAAAGTCAAATATGTAGGACTAAATCTGAATTTCAAATATGTTGCCTTAATATTTATTATTTAAATTCCCAAATAAACTTTACAAATACCCTGCAGTGCCATTCATCAGTATTTCATATACGTAGGAGTTTTTGATGAAAAATAAATTGTTTCTATAAATTTTGAAACAGCAATCAATGATTCATTAACATTTTATTCAATTTAATTTTTAATTATTTTTATTTTAGAAAAACATTATAACTTTTCCTCTTATCAAAAGATTTTCAAATTTTAGGTATAGCCATTTTGTGTTATTTTAGAATTTTGGAGTTGATTTCTACTATATCACGATTGAGAAATTAGAACAATTAAAGAAATATAATTTTATTTAGGTTTCAAATTTAAAATATAGCCATTTATATATTGTTTTAGTATATCGAGCTAAATTTTATAAAAATCGGACGACTATATCAAATAGCTGCCACACAAACGATCGTTAGATATAGTGGAAAATGCAACACTATAAATGTAAAACTGGAAAACTACAAATATACTATGTATAAGGTGCATGTAATGCCTGCAACGAATGTAATAATATTTATATTATTGTATTAATTCTTAGTGATCGAATCTCAAGGATGAGCTTCCTTTCTCGATTTTATTTTAGTAATAATTAAATAGTTCTACCGAGCACAAAATACTTAATGTTACTGTTTTCTGTTTGCATATACTGCTGAGACACAAGCACTCACTTGGATAATTCGAATTAAAAAAAATACGTTTTTCTCACTTTTGGCAGCTTCAATGTATTACTTATAAATCCTTCAAAAGTTAAAACTCATTGTGAGAGACGGAGATACTTAAAAGTTGATTTAAAATGATGAAAAATCATTGAATTTTTTTCATTAGATATTCATCAAATATTTTTTATAGAGAGAAAATGAGCGTCGACTTTATAAAGGTTGTCAAATGATAATGTCGAATCGGTAGAATATTCTGAAAATTGTATTTGGTGGGTAAAATACACACCCATGATCTAGCGATCTAACAATACATATATACATAAATGCTGTGTAATTTAGGCCTTGGCAGCAGCATTAAGAGCCTGTTCCAGGTCCTTAATCAAATCTTCAGCATCCTCGAGCCCCACAGACAGGCGGACAAGACCGTCGGTGATTCCCAGCGTTTTTCTATCTTCAGCGGGCACAGAAGCATGTGTCATCACGGATGGCAGCTCAGCGAGACTCTCGTATCCGCCCAGACTCTCCGCCAGTGTAAACACCTTGAGGGCCTTCAGGAACGCTGTGGAGTGTTTCAGCTCGCCCTTGATGTAAAACGAGAATACGCCGCTGTAGCCGTAGGTCTGCTTCAGAGCGATCTGGTGCTGGGGATGCGAGGGCAAGGCAGGATGCAAAACCTTCTCCACGAACTGGTTGCTATCCAGATACTTGGCAATCTTCAGGGCATTTTTCTGATGCTGCTCCATGCGGAGCGACAGGGTCTTCAGACTCCTATTCACCTGGTAGCAATCAAAGGGAGAGGGCACAATGCCCACTGCTTTCTGCAGGAACTTCAGGCTCTGGTAGAGCTTCTCGGAGTTCATGGTGATGCCACCCATCACCACATCCGTGTGTCCATTCATGTACTTGGTCATCGAGTAGCAGACAAGATCGGCTCCCAACTCCAGGGGCCGCTGGAAGTAGGAGGTGAGGAAGGTGTTGTCCACCGCCAAGATTAGGTCCTCTCGGATGCCATGGACTAGTTTGGCGATAGCCTCAATGTCTGCCACCTTGGTCAGCGGGTTTGTGGGAGACTCGATCCACACCAGCTTGGTTTCCGGCTTAACGGCAGCCTTAATGGCATCCAATTTGGTTGGATCCACGAAGCTAGCTGAGATGCCCAACCGAGTAGCAACCTGACGGATCAGACGGTTGGTTCCTCCGTAAACATCATCGCCCATGATGATGTGATCGCCGCTGGACAGCATGGTCAGCACAGCGGTGGTGGCTCCCAGTCCCGAGGAGAAGGTCAATCCGTACTGGGCATTATCCAGCGCCGCAAAACAGGTCTCCAGGACAGTACGGGTGGGGTTTCCGCTCCGGGAGTACACATAGCCGCGGTGCTCGCCCGGAGCATCATACTTGAAGTTAGTGCTCAAGGTGATCGGAGGGATCACTGAGGCACTCTTCCACTGCTCGGGACTCTGGCCTGAGTGGATGGACTTGGTGGCGAAGCCGCTCGGCTGGGGTTTGAAGCTCATCTCGGCTCTCGGATTAAACACAACTGTCACGTGATTGCGATTCCTACGGAATATATGTATATATTCGTAATAGAATCTACCGATTCTATACAAGTCAGAGATGCCAACGCCGCGATATCGCCCACAGGTGCTACAGCTCCTTAAGCTATTTTGTGGCCATGTTGTATAGATTTTAAATTTGAAAATGTTATAGATAAATTTTAAACAACTTTTTATTGTTTATATGATTATTAATTATTTCATTAAATTTAAACTATTCATTATTAATTACGCATATTTTGTAGGAAATGTGTAGGACTAAATCTGCATTTCAAATATGCTGCCTTAATATTTATTTTATTTGAATAATTATTTGAATTCCCAAATAAATTTAAAAAATACCCTGCAGTGCCATTCATCAATAATTCACAAGTTATTCATATTCGTCGGTGTTTTTGATGAATCATCAATTAATTTCAATTCAAAATTACTGAATTCGTAAATGATTCATTAACGTTTTATACAATGGTATATAATAATAATAATACATGTATTATTTGATAATTATGAATTATTTTTATTTAAACTTTTCTTTTTAATTTTTAACTTGAAAAAAATATTTGCATTTTTGTTTGTTCGCCATTGTTTTTATTTTTGTAATAATAAACTAGTGTTACCTAACAGAAAACACTTAATGTTACAAAAGCACTCAACTGGATAATTCGAACTGTAACAAGAAATGAAGCTAAATTCCTCTAACTTCCAAAGTATATATACGCTTGAAGATAAAACTTCTATCACTAGGAATTAATACAATTTAAATAATATATATTTATGTTAAAAAAACAATGAAGTTATGCCTGCTTTCATTTCATTCACATGTTACATGTTATATTTACAGTTTGACATTCAGAGTTTTGCATTTTGCATCTGTCTAACGATCGCTTGTATGGCAGCTACAGGTTTTCATAAAATTAAAAAATGCAATAATTTAAAAGGGCTATATCTTAAATTTGATAAAAACTTGTTGAAAACTGAAAAAGTTATAATTTGAATGGTATTCATTTCTCGATCGTTCTTATGACAGGTATTAGATATAGTACCCAAATTTTCATAAAATTTTAACAAAATTGTTGGAATAATATAAAATTGCTATATCTCTAATTTTATAAAATCGTTTGAAAATTGAAAAAGTTGTAATTTTTTTTTGTAAAAATTTTTCGATCGTATATCAATGCCAACAAATTTGATTTCGTTGCTATAAGAAATATACATATGACATCGACTTTAATCTTTGCCTTTACAACATTTTCTGTGATACGAAGATGAGTTCGGTTTTTAAATTAAATTACAATGCCTAATATGAGATACAGAGTTAATTTATTTAAATAAGGAACCAAACGTTACCCCAGGTGTCACAACCAGCAAAATGAAATTACATCCTATGTCATGAATGACAAAATGAAGTTAGTAATAAACATTTAAATAATTGACCAGGGATGTTTGGTTTAACTTTGACAAAACTTTCGCTTTCATTTGTACTAAAAATGTGGCATTGTTTGATCGATGGTTTGGTTAATGTTTAAAACATTTTACTTACAATTCATTTTTTTCCATTTAAAACAATATTTTTAAAGTTAAAAACTTTATTTAATCGGCAATATTTAATCATTGATAAAGCACTTTATATATATTTTACAATCCCAGCTTAAGAGTAGATACTGCACATAATGGATCATGGGGAACGGAGGTGAGTGGTTAAGCAGCGTTGTCTACCACAGTTTGTCGCTAAACACGATCTCTTTGAAGATGCAATCCTGTTTGGCAATACTGACAATACTCGCCTTCTTGGACTTCATGGCATCCTGTACCTTTTCGCGCACTTCGGCTGCTTTTACGTCATTTCGGATGTAGAAAAGGCGCACCAAATGGTCCTCGTTTAAGGATGGATAGCTGCCCAGCAATGTGTGCAGGTCCAGGACCAGCAACTCAATATCTGAGCTGAGCAGTGCCGACAGAATGGAGATAAGGTCGAGCGGGGAATCACTCAGAGAGATCTTAGGGGCGATCTTTTCAAAGAATAGCTTAAAACGTTTGGCCTCCGCCTTGATTTTCCGGGTGATGGCGTCGCACTCGGTGCGCGGCTTTGACAGACGCTTTGATAGCAGCGCTCGTATGTAGCGCTTGGCAAGAAGTTTCTGAGCCTCGTTGATCACCATCTCGAAATTATTGGGCCGAAGGTGGTTATAGTCTTGGAAGTAGTCGTCCAGCGTCACGCAGATGGTGTCCACGGCAATGTTACTGGCCAGCCATTTGGCGGTGAAAAGGTCGTTGAAATGGCACTCCATGTCCAGGAAGGCCTCCTCCAGCAAGTAGCTAGCGGCATGCGCCCGAATCCGTTGGAAAGTCACCAGAAGGCGCTCAAAGTCCTCGTAGTGCTCTGTGCGCGACTTGGGCCAGTACAGCTGCTTCATCTGCTGCGCCAGCTCCACCATTTGTTGGCTGTTGTTCACGATGGTGATAATGTAGTGAGTGAAGTACTTGATCTGGTCGCGGTTGCGGAAGTGGTGTTCCTTCAGCTCAATCACGTTTTTCAGATACGTCTGGCCAAAAATCTCCACTTGCTGGATGCTCATCACAAGCGCCTTGAATGTCAACTCCTGGTGAATAGTGTTGGTCACCTGCAGATGCTGATCAATCATTTGGAAGATAATAACTGGCGCCGATGTGTGGTAGTAGTGCTCGTCCTGATCGGGCACCATCTCAGAGAACCACTCCTGTTTTTCCGTTTCAGCAGCCTTGGTCATCCATTCCTGGTAGTTGCGCTGCATATTCTGCAGGTACTCATCCTCCAGCGCCTTGAGATGTTCCGGTCGCAGGAGAGGTCCGATTAACCGATGCACATCCACATTGAGATCAGGGTGAGCCATCAGCTCGACGCCTGGATATGTATGCGTGACCCAAGCCAGCATAGAAACGTATTCATTGCCCTCCAGCCCTGAGCGCACAATGTTGTCCAGCTGAAAGGAAGAGTTTATTTAGATATAAACCAAGGAATCCCACCCGAGGCAACTCACATAACTGGATAGTCCCTCGTGGTAGAACTTGACGTACTCCCCAAATATGTCATAGTGAGGTGGGAAGCAGGGAACGCACAGCGACTTGACCACGCGAAGGTCCTCGAGTATGATCTGGCGCAGAATCTCCAGATCGCGGACTAGCCACATCTTGTTGTCTGCCCGCTCCTCCAGCTTAGAACCCTCGATGCGTGTGACCACCGACTGCTGCAGCACGTCCATAATCATGCGGCGCCATGCTTTCGGCCTTCCCGGGGGCAGGAAACCAGTCACCTTCTGCTGCTGTAGTGCGAACTGGTCGTTCTTTTCCTCTCGCTCAATGATGCGGAGAGCGGTGACGATAATCGTCGGCTTTTTGCGCAGGATGTTCAGCGTCCGGCTGATGTTGATGCGTAGCTTTTTCTCCAGCTCCCGGGACACGGTGTCCACCTTCTCAAAGTGGCGCTTTAACGTGATCTTGTCGGAGGCGTGCTGCTTCGGCTGCTTGTGCAGTTCGTATAGAAGGTCATCCCGCGAATTCTCAAGATCGGCCAGGCACTGGTGGGCATTGAGTAGCTTGTCGTCCTCGATCAGGGCCATCGTCTTCTGCACGCTGGCGTCCACGTTGAAGATATGCTTCAGGTTCTCCATGGCGGTGGCGTACTGCGAGTGTTTCGTGTTCTCTTCCCGCACGACCTCCAGGGCGTCGTACACCTCTGGCACGCCCTTCAGCAGGCGCTCCACCTCGTTCATCCGTCGTCTCACCTCACGCACATCCTGCATGCACGTTTCCAGCTGTTTGAGACCCACTCGGACGCCGTCCAGTTGGTTTTGCATTCCGGTCTTAAGCAGTGCCTCAACGGAGGCTTTTTTGCGGGCGATGCGGTGGCGGTACTGCTCTACCTTCTCCAGCTGGCCCGGCCGCTGCAGCATGTTCTGAATGTCCTTGAGCGCCGCCTGGCGCGCCTCTTCCTCCAGCTGCTGCAGATCCATTTTGATATTTACTTTGTTTCTTCGGTTTTCTTTCCTCTTCTGTTTTGGCCAATCTTCGTCAGAAGATGGTTAGTGTGACCGCAGTTCTATGTGGCAAAAAACCACAATTTCGCGGCTTAAATGAGTACAGCGAGTGTTCTGTAAAATAAACGCCTTTAATGGAAGGCTTTTGTGTTAAATATAATTATAAGAAGTCATTGGAACAACAATATTAACTGTTATAGTCACGGAATAAACTTTATTTGCTGAAGAAAAAAGTTTTGTCTCTTTAATATCTGAATATTCATTGGTTAAAGGAATTAGTTAATATACAAGCTTTACTGTAGTTTCGATAAATGCTTTTGTTTTTGTTGGAATATCGCCACCAAGAGCTTTGTTTATTATTTTCAGCCAGTCCCAACGTAAACAACGCCCCCGAAAAAGAATGAGTTCGGAACAAGAGATGATATTGCAATTTGCACCCTGGGAGTCGTTTGTGTCGCCAACTTTTTGGCACAAACTGGCGGAGCTGAAGCTGGACCACGATCGCCTCTCGGACGCGAAGAGATCAATAACTGGACACTACACGAATCGCAATGCCAGCGGTTGTCTTCTGGAGGTGGACTACACAGCCTACAACAGGTGAGTTCGAAGGAAATTTTAGTCTGCCCAAAAGTAATCTTGAATCTCGTTGGTTAACAGGTCATCGCAGCCGCCAAAGTTCAGCCACTCTGCCAGTGGCACTATCTACAACAAGAACACCATTGAAGAGTTCAAGGCCCTGGACAAAGTGCAGCTGCTGGCCGAAGAGGGCAAGAAACTGCTGGCTGATATGTGCAATGGTCGGGTGCTGGCTGATCCTAGTCTGTTGACCCGCTTCTTTGTTCTCTCCTTCGCCGACTTGAAGTGCCACAGCTACTACTATTGGTTCGCCTTTCCCTGCCCCCTGACGCCCACATTAAAACTGCAAGGCGTTGTCCAAAAGCTGCGGGACTTGCCCAATGTCAACAAATATGTAGAGGCCTTGAACAACCTGCCCTCCGAGTCTCAGAACTTTTTTATTCTGTATGCGAATGCAGAGCAGCAGGTTTACGAAGCCCGCAGGTTAAGCTCTCTGGTTGAAGAAGAGGTGGAGCACTATTACTTTTGTTTTGCCGATCCCAGCGAGTACGAGCATCCGGCCTGGTTGATGCGGAACTATGCTGCCTTCCTGCTCCAGCAATGGTGAGGTGTCTTCCTTAATGAATAGTATCTCCTTATAATTTTCACATTATTCTCTCATAGTCCCAGTTATGTTGGCAAAACTCTTAGGTTTCTGGGTCTACGTTACAATCAACAAATGCAAGTTGACGACAGCCGCATTTGGCAGGTAATTCAAACGGAGGCCTTTGATCTAACACAGTTCGGCGACGTAAAATATGTGGGATGGGAGCTAAATAAAAATGCCAAAATGGGGCCAAGAATCGCCCAAATGAAGGACAGCATGGATCCAGCCAAGTAAGCTAGTAACGAATGGCCTAAATGATAGAAAATTTCAGGGGGAATATTTTTATCTTTTTCACTATCTCCTACTGTCTTTTGTAGATTGGCTGAAAACTCTGTCAATCTCAACCTTAAACTGATGAAATGGCGCCTGGTTCCCGATCTAAATTTGGAAGTTATCGCCAAAACCAAATGTCTACTCTTTGGAGCGGGCACTCTAGGATGCGCTGTGGCCAGAAATCTCCTGGTGAGCCTACATATACTAATAAAGCACTCGACCTTATTGAGAGTCCTATGAATTTCCAGTCCTGGGGCTTTAAGCACATCACCCTGCTGGACAATGGTAAGGTGGGCTTCTCCAATCCCGTACGCCAGAATCTCTACACCCATGCCGATGCGGTCGCGGGAAACAAGATGAAGGCCACCACTGCTGCTCTGAGGTTGCGTGAAATAAATCCCTCTGCGGAAACAGCAGGCCATGTGTTGGAAATACCCATGCCCGGTCACACAATTGGTGAATCGCTTGTTGCCCAGACGGAGGAGCATTTGTTGGTGATCGAGCAGCAGGTTCGAGACCATGATGTCATCTTCTTGCTTACGGATTCACGCGAGAGCCGCTGGCTTCCGACGCTGCTGGGAGCGGCCAACCAAAAGGTTAGCTATAGATAATGTAAATGTAAAATCCCACTAATCTTTGACCATTTCAAGGTGGTCATCAATGCTGCTCTCGGCTTCGATAGCTACCTGGTGATGCGACATGGCAGCACACGCGACGAGGGCGGCGATGCTAGGGAAGAGATTGAGGGACTCAAGTGCATTGGTGGGAGCCAATTGGGCTGCTACTTTTGCAATGATGTAACGGCGCCGGGAAATGTGAGTTAACAACGTATATATTTTCAGACTTTGTTCAGTTAGACACACTCATAGTCGTGGCGGGAATACTTTTCAAAGCCGCCGCACGTAGGATCGCCTGTCTGCAGGTGATCCACTCCCGTTATCTGAATCACCAGGCCATTAATACTGGTCACTTTGAAGCCCACCAGATTCATCATGGCGTTGGGTGTGCGCCATGCATAGCTGAAGAAGTTGTACCCGTCCACGGCGGTGAGGACTTCTCGTTCCGTAAAGGCCAGCGCCAGTTTGAATTGCTGATTGAAGACGAAGGGGAATCCACCGTGGCGCTCCTCGTTTCCGAATCTAAAAGAAGGGAAGGTTTGAAATGGGAAGGCAATATAGATAGTAGCTAATGCATACTCAAAGTTCTTGTTCATAGAGTTCCGCACCACCACCTTATCATCGAAGCGCACGCTGAAGTGCAGCTCTTCGCGCTTGGGGTCCGAGTCCATGAACTTAAGAATGAACTGGCCCTTCTTGTTTTCGAAGCAGCGGGCTGTGATGACGATCACATGACCAGGACTGAAGAGGATCGGCTGGTCGTTGCTAAACGACTTAAAGTAGTCCGAGGCATGGATCGCGGGCCACGGATTGGGAAACACGGTGCGGTGATCGACTTGCTTGATCACCTGGATCTGATCCCGAATCTCCAGCGCGCGGATCGATCCCAGTGGGATGCGGTACCGGAACCGGCAGAACTCCCGGCTATTTATGGAGATGGCAAAACTGTCCTCGCAGCACAGGATGTACACAAGGAAGAACTCCCCACTGACAATGGGATTGGGCAGCGAATTGCTGTCCAGGACATGGGTTTCCTCCTCGCCCATGAGCCATGTATGCGGGAATTCCTCACGATCACATCGTTACGGAAATAGACGGAGAAGCGCAGACCAATGTCCGCGTCCGGATCCACCGTGCACTTGGCTGTGCACAGGTTGATGTGGAACCTACCAAAAAGGCCAAAAGCGATCATAATCGGAGCATTAGTCATGAGTCCGATAAGGAAACCAATTTTACAAGCGAAAAGTCAGGGAATGGGTTGCGGCATCTAACCAACTGACTTCCACTCTGGTGCTCACCTTGCCGCACCATCAATGGTCTTGGCCACGACCTCCAGCACATGGCCAAACTCCAGCGGATGGGACAAGTTGCCAGTGTACTCGGTTAACATTATTCCTGCCTGTTTCTCGCCAACAATTACCAATCGAACTCACTATCGCCTGTCCACTGAACAAAAACAAAATGCTTTAGGGCCGGTGGGAGAGACCGGAGTTCACCTTTTCCCGGCTCTCCCGCTTGTCGGAACTTTATCTAATCAGACACGAACGGGCGGAGCAGCGGCGGGAAATATGGTTGCTTGAGTAACTGCTATAACTGCGAGCGCAACTTAATAATTTGTGTACGGGACTAACAAGCTGTTTGTTTAGTTCTCGCTTTGGAGACGTCATTTCTGTTTGCTCGCTTGTTGACACTGCAAAGCTCAGAGAGCTTTCGATCTTCCCACTGCATCGGCCCTAAGCTTCACACCCCCTTAACCTAGATACATTTATTATGATCTTTGACAAACTTTTTTATTTAGAGTCCATTTTTGAAGAAAATTCTCTTTAATTCTTTTTGCTATTTGATTTCTTTTCCTGCAGTCCCTTAAGGATCGCACCTTGGACCAGCAGTGCACCGTTACACGGCCTGGAGTATCTAATATTGCTGCTAGCTATGCCGTAGAACTGCTGGTGGCCCTGCTCCAGCATCCTCTGCGGGAGCTGGCTCCGGCCTATTACGCTCAGAGTGTGCGAGGTAAAGCGGAGGAGGAGGCGACGGGCAAAGTGCCCGAGGGTTTGCTGGGCATTCTACCGCACTCCATCCGGGGTATGCTGTGTAACTATGAGAACATTCTTCCAGCTACCCAGAAGTTTGCTCAATGCATTGCCTGCTCTTCGGTAAGATTAGTTTGGGACTTTTAATGTAATAATAACAAATAATAATAATTATTTTACAGCCTGTTTTGGAGGCATACAGAAAGGAGGGTCATACATTCCTCTTTAAAACTTTTGAAACAGCCAAGTATCTTGAGGATTTGACTGGAATTTCGGAGTTCAAGCGCTTAAATAGCGAGGTTTGTGACCATAATGCCTAAAGTTAACATAAAATAATTACAATTTGTTAATTTATTTTAGATAATAGACTTTGATGACGAGGAATTTGATATGTCAGAGGAAGATGAAGATTAAAGGGTCGCACTTAATTGATTTTCACTACTTCCGCTTTGAAAACTAATTAAGCTTATCGAGGCTTTGAGCAAGAAATTTGGATTTATCCAGACAGTATATTTTATCAAAGCTATTGCAGCATTTAAAAGTTCAATGTGTAAGCCAAAAATGTATGTTTTTCCATGTACTTTATCTAGTCATTAAGTAAATTGTGTAACAATCGTCTGAAATTAAATGAAAAATTGTAACATAACTGATTACATTTTAATGGACATTCGATTCACTTGCTTTACCTATTTTTAAAATAAATACAAAATAAAAGTTTCCGTTAAATTACAAGTCCCGGCTTTTGGCCCTTGTTGTTCGCTGAATACGTTCCTGCTGATAAGAGCATCCGATTCAAACGCGCAAAATATTATTCTGATTTGAGAATTCCCCCGCTATGATTGAAAAATATAAAAATATTTGTGTTCGGTCAATGAAATCATTTTATTAACTGCATTCTTCAAGGCAAGCGCAAAGGCACGAAAACAATGTTGAATTTTGTCTTGTCTTGTATTGTTTGTTTTATACTTCGGGAATATTCAAATTATTTACATACCTAGTGGGTTAGCATTGCTAAAAGAATAGTTCAAAGTTGAATAAACTTGGTTAGAAAGCCACGAGCTGAGCGCATATGCTAAATAGCTCTCGTTTGGGCCAGCAAAAAAATTGTGTTAAAGATAGCTGACATTTTTCAGATACACTCGCGATTTTAATTTATAAATCTCATATTGTTATTATATAATTATTATTTTTTTTAAATATATCATTATTATCGTTATCATTTCTGTTATTATATTGAATCCAGGCCCATATGTACCATATTTTCCTTCCCATATCCTAAACGTCTGGTTATGTTCTAATGGCTCTAACCGATTCCGGCAACAATAAATATAATAAATTTAAAAATAAAATAATAATTTATATTATTAATATGTTTAAAAATATGCAAACATATTAAACAATAATCAAATTTAATGACCATTGTATATATTAACATTTTATAGAATATTTCTCATCCACATTTAAGGTAATTTGAAATATACAGCAATACACACAAAATTTTTAATTTGAGTAAATTCATTTTAAAATGTGTATTTTAAATATGTTTAAATGGTTTCTTATAGCCTACCGGACTCTAATTAGCTACTACAAACTACCGTGCAGATTGATTAGTGAACACAAATGTGAAATTGGGTTTTTGCGCTTTGAAGCAAGCTTTAGGGACGCGTTTCAAGTGTTTTAAGATTTTGAAACCGGTTTTAGGTTTTCAAAAACAACAAAGGAATAAAAAGGAAACCTAATGGATCATTTCAAAATGAATATAAATAAATTGTTTTATTTCAATACAAATTCTAGACTTTTCATTGTTCTCTTGAGAAAATGGGTAAATGCAAATGTAACAACAACAGAGTCAGGCCAAGTGTTTTGAGATAAATAAATAGTGGCAAGCGGCACTTGACACCAAAATCGAAGAGGGGCTGAAAAAGGTTTCAAAACCCCTTTCGTCTTTCATCAGTTTTGACCCCAGGGCAACATGCAAGTCGCACCAACGGCCATTTCTCTTGACCAAATACGCAAATAAGAAAGAAGACTGCCCAAAACGTCACAAGCCCTATAATTAATAGTTAAGGCCGTCCGGGAAGGGGGAGGCCAGGTAGCTCAACCTCGGAGATCTTGACATCGGTAGCATAAATTTCGGGCCAACAACTGAGCAAACAACAACAAGCAGTGCCGACTCAGGCCAGGCCAGGTTGCGGCGCTGAGTTGAAACCGCTTTGAGTTTCGACTCGCAGGTGGTAAAAGCACTCAAAATGCCATTCGAGTGTCGCGTTGCCTCTGCCGGCGTCGCAAATTGTCACTCGAATTGCGTTTTGAGTGGAAATTGCGGCTCTGCCGGCCAAGATCTCCATAAATTGGTGAAAGATACCCAAAACGGCACACAAACCAAGTGGCGCGCATCCAGGGTGGCAACTTAGCCATAGTGCAAATTCGAAAAAGTGCAAGTCTAAGTCTCAAGTCCTGTGAAAGCAAGAGTTATTCCTTGAAAAGTGCAAGTTACAAAAATTCAAAATTATTCAGTTACTGTAAGAGAAGAAAGAAGAGTTCAACTATTTCAGCAAAATGGTGAGTCCTGCATCCTAGTATTTACTTTTCTTAGTTGCCCAAGCTATTCGGTTTATTGAACTTGGCTGGAAAATTGCCTCCTGCTTTCCAGCAATTTTCCAAATTGCTTGTGCTTTCTGTTGGCTTAATATTGACGCAGCTTGTAGTTATGTTTTTGTTTGCCTCGTTTTTGCCATTGGCCTTAACTTGTTGCGAAAGTTGGCTACTGCCAAGTTGGCACATTAGTGCTGTTGTCCATTGCAAAACAATTTTTCAAATACCAAACCAAAAACCTCAAATATCATCATGGGGCGCGCACTAAGGGGGAAATTATTTAATAATAAAGCTCGGAGGGGGGGGGGGGGGAGCTCGTTAAAAAAACTATTACTTTTATTATGACAAGTTCACTGGCGTTGTGACATTGCAGTTGGAAAAGTGTTCATGGAAAGTGTTTGGAGGAAAGCAAAGAAAGGAGAACCATAAAAGAACCTTTGTTTGGTCAGTTGTTTGATTTGTAGGGAGAAAGTAAGGTCAGTCATTAGTCATTTACAAACTTCCTGAATCACAAAGAGAACTCAAATGCATCACTCACTCGATGACTTTAAATTAAAGCCAGATTTTAAAAGATAAAGGAGACAGTTAAGACCTACATATATATACCTGAAAGTAGGCAATAATTTAAAAATTTTTCTTTAGAACAAAAAGAATTTCAATCTCTCATACTTTATTGGCTCTTAAACTTTGACCCCTTTTAGCAGAGAAAGCTGGTCTTTGATGAGACAAAATTCGAAAGCTAATAAATTTGCATTTAGTTGGAAATTTAAAACCTCTGAACTGAGCAACAAAATGGCGCATTTTAAATGGTAAAATCCCAAGGATCCAATATTATTTTCAAGTAAACCATCACCTTAAGATTTAATGGACATGCGTCAGCAGCCAGATTCGAGCAAATCGAACCAGCTATCATCGGTGACAAACGGGGACCCTCCGTATCAGCAACAAGAAAACATATATTCGGCCATTGGACAGATAATAGAATAGAAATTTGTTTTTTATTCGCCGAACGGTCCCATTAGAGCGTCGTTAACCTCTGGTCCAGAAAATCAGGCAGGCACATCTGTTGGAGAGCCCCTCCTGGCAACATTCGATGCCTAGCTATTGATAGTAAGCCCGGCGATAATCACTTCTTGTTTTTGTCCGGGCTTGTGCCTCCGCCTTACGTACGTCCGATCGATCCATGCTGATTATATAGGAGCGAACCAGGAGAGTCAATCTCCAGAAGACGGGGTGTCAGTTCAGTTGGGATTGTCAGTCGAGGTGGAACGTGTGCGCGATTACACTTACTGGAAGCGAATTCAATCTTTTCACACAACAACCGATCGGAATATATATATATATATATATACATATATATATATAGACATTAGCCATCCGCTATCAGCTATCAGATAGCATCGATCATAGATCATCGATCATAGAACGTCGTAATTCATCTAAATCAATTGAGGAACGAGCTATAAAGTGATTCTCCTCCATATATATAGAGGTAGTTTTCCACGCCCTTCAGCTCTCTATGATCCCTCACTGAACAAAATCCCTAACTCTTTTCCGCCTTCGAACCCTAGGTCAATCAGACTAAGCCCAAGATGGCCCTGTCCAAAATAGACTCGGAGATCGAGCAGGTGGACCAAGAGAAGTACCTGCGCCAGGCCACCAGCTACTATCAGGCGCTGGAGAAGCCCCTCAAGTACGGGCCTGCCGTGGACAGCCTTCCCGACTTGATCGCCGCCCTTCATCGCGAGTTCGAGTCCAACTACGTCAACATCGAGATGGTGAACCACCTGATGCTCTCGTACAAGTCGAATCCCCGGGAGTGGCGGAAGTACGCCAAGTTCGATCGTTACAGCTACACCCGGAACCTGGTGGATGCTGGCAATGGCAAGTTTAATCTGCTGATCCTGTGCTGGGGCGAAGGACACGGCTCCTCGGTGCACGACCATGCCGACTCCCATTGCTTTATGAAGATGCTGAAGGGGGATCTGCGAGAGAAGCGCTACGAGTACCCCAATCGCTCTGGCAGGGATACGGGACGAGGCCACCATCCCGATGGCGAGATCGACAGCCGGGAGCTGGTTGAGATCGGGGAGACACCCATTGCCGTCAATGATGTGGCTTATATAAATGGTGAGGAACATCACTCGAACTTTTAAGGGGATTTTCACTTACTTTGGGGTTTTCCATTCCTCGTTTTCTGCAGATAACCTGGGACTGCATCGCGTGGAGAATCCCAGCCACTCGGACACCTCCGTTTCGCTGCATCTCTACTGTCCGCCATTCGACCAGTGTTCGGTGTTCCAGGACAGTCAGAAGAAGACCACCGCCAAGGTGACTTTCTGGAGCAAGTACGGCGTTAGGACGAAGCTGAACGAGCAGTAGATCCCAGCCAGATCCCAAATACAATTATTGTTGCATATTGCTAAGAATCTTTATTACTAGATATTTAACGTGCTAGGGCCTAAGAAGATCCGGGATCGGAATCGGGCGAGAGGGCCACGTGGGCACTGGATTAGCTGATAAGCCCTCATCCGATAAGCCCATCCGTCTTCCCGGATCGCAGTTTCGTTCTAAGTGTATCTTTAGCCTTAGTTTAGCTCTACCAAAAATGTTCAATATATAAGTGAAATCATTGACATCTCCCGAATGGTGTATTTAATGCTCCGAGAAGCGAGCTTCCCGGGTGGTTTTCCAGTTTCAGAACAAAAAAAAAATTCAGATATCCAACCTGGTGTCCCGTATGGGTGACCGTTTGGGTGGACCCCGCTCCAGGGTCTGCTTGATGGACTTCAACAGGGCGGGTAATAGGTCAATGTGCTTGTCCACACAGTTGCCCGTGCAGCCCTCGAAGATGTGCTGGGATCGGGCCATGTCCCGGTTGCTTGGATTGCTGGGAAGACTGGAGCGAGCATCGCTGTTACAATCCTGTGGGTAAGATTAGACAAGAAATTTAAAATAACTATCTGCAGGAACCAAATCTAAGATAACCTTAAGAGGCTTTAATAAAGTTAACTTTAGTTACATTCAGATGGAAAGTCGTTCATTAAACTGAAAGAAGCTATTATAATCTATTTTAGTAAATTTTACTTTTAGTGAAACTGAAAAGATGAGCAGGAACAGTCATATGAGTAATATTCTACCTTTTTCATTTTCAAACTTGGTGCCGTGTAAACTTATTACAATTAAATGGCTCGAAATTCAAGTTAATGACATTCTCTCGTGTCGTTCCTAAGCTTGCTAACTTACACGCTGAACTGCTGCTCTTTGGAAAGAATTAATTCTGTTGATGATTTGGGGGTCCGCTTGGACCCCAAGCTTGACTTTATTGATCATATTTCGTCAATAGTGAATAGAGATGTGCTTGGATTTATTAAACGGCGGTCGAAGGAATTCAATGACCCCTATGTTACTAAATTGTTATTTACTTCTTTAGTTCGTCCTATCTTAGAATATGGATACTGCGTTTGAAGCCCTCAGTACAGCGTTCATAGCAAACGGTTCAAAAGAACTTTTTACTTTTTGCTTTACGCGGTTTAAATTGGGATGCAAACCTAAGATTACTCTCCTACTCAAATTAACTCCTATTAATAAACTTACTGCCAATCGTAGAACGATGCTAGGAATAACCTTTATTTTTAACCTTAAACATGGTGATGTGGAAAGTGCTGACTTGTTAAGTCAGCTTAATTTCCACGTACCATGTAGAGCTACTAGATCCTATATCCCATTAGTGTTGTAGAACCTCCGAACTGCATGAACCTTTTAGAGTGTTATGTGCAAATTATAATGATTTGTACACCCTAATATCTAACGTAGATACCCCTCCCAAATGAAAATCTTTAATACTAACACACTTAGTAATGCAAGCAAACATTCTGGCAGCACGCTGGTGGTCAATTTCCTCGTTTACTTTCTTTCCTATATTTTCCATCGCGCTGACTAACACCTAACCCAAACAGGCACGTGCCTGCTGTCATACGGGCCACTTGAATGTATTGACCTAGTGTATCATCGTCCAATATTGAATCGGGAAAAAGTCCAATCCGCCTTAAATCGGCTTAATAGCTACATGAAATATTAAAGTTTCAAATAGAAGTTGGTTCTATTATTAAGAGATCAGATGGACCAACTTGGATGGATTGAAAATACTAAGGCGATATAAATACATTTTTCGAAAGTATCGTATGTTTTACACATATCATTTTTTTACGGACAATATACACTTTAGTAACGCCAATATCAGCCCATATTAACTAATTGGCAGCATATTTTTTGCCTCAAAAATCTTGTCTGTAGTTGATTGTTAAGCGGATGGAAAGTCTTAAGTATAAAAAATATTGTCTAAGTAGCCGGTCAAACCCTAATGTGCTCTTAAAAAGTTCAGGAAACCCAAGCAAGGAGCTAGAAATGAAAACCAAGAACAGGATCCTACCCTGACACAGTTCTGCAGGCGGTTTTGGAACTGTCCTAGTTCGTGTTGCAGATAATCCTGGGCATCCATCAGAGGTCCGGCGCACTTCTCTATGCAGTTCTGCACAGTCTCCAGCGTTCCGCGCTCGTCGTCGCAACACTTGGCCGCACAGCGATGCATCGCGGACTTAGCACCAATATATCAGAAAGATTGGTTTTAGCGAGAGAGCACTTCCACTCAAGAAGGAGACCACACACTCACCTGCATCCGACGCAAGTGGGTGCGGTACATGTCCTCGATCATTTCGCTAATGGCACTCTCCAAGCGTTTCTTCTGCTGTTCCGCCATTGACCCAATTTTAAAAATTAACAATTTGGAAATAAACAATTTAAATCTGGCTTTGACAGCTTTTCAGTTGAATTTTGTATTTTAAAATGTGATGGAAACATGACTCCAGGAAGTTGTAAAGCTAGAAAAGGTGTAAAATAGCTCCAGAGCTAGTAACACTATATATTTGCACGGTAATTATGGTAAACGAGTTTCAACAACTTAATAGCAGAGCTCTTAAAATGGGCTCAATCCTTTTGATCATTTGAATGCACTCCCAAGCAACTTACAATAGTCTACTTTCCAGTAGCTTTGCCGAACTCAGACTTTAGCTTAATACACTTCTAAGGTATGTGTTATGTCCTGCAGAGCTAATACGGCTCTAGTTCCGTTTTCTTGATTTTTTTCTTTCCATAGAGTCCGCGAGCTGGAACCGCAACTTTACTGACTTTAAGTGATACAGGATCCCTGCGAGCTCTGCTTTATAGGTTAATAGAAATGCAGCTAGACTTGGGGAATGCTCTCGGGTCCTTTTGAAAGCACAGCCTTCATTGTCTTCATCATGCCGGGTATGAGGCCCACGTGCTTGTCTACGCACTGGACGGCACAGCGCTCGAATTGATCGGTGTATTTGGCTATTTGGTCCTCGTTGGGATTGGGTGGCATCTTCACCTTTACATCGTCGTTACATTGCTAAGGGAAGTGAATAATAAATTAATAGGTAACAGGAATTTAAATGTTTAATTTTTTGGACATACCATGACGCAACGTTGCAGTCTTCCCTGAAACTCTCCCAGTTCGTGCTGGACATAATTTTGAGCTCGTGTCATGGGCGTGGAACAGCGATCGATGCACCTCTGGACGCTATCCGCAGAGGAGGTTCCATCCTGACAGCACTTGGCGGCGCACAGATGCATCTCATTCTGGTTAGGATCAGGAAAGATGAAACAATGCCGGTTGATGTTTCCTAGGGGGCCGGGAACTTACCTGCATTCTGCGCAGGTACGTCTTGTCCATGTCTTCGATGGCCTCCGTTACGGCGGACTCGATGCGTTGACGCTGTGCCTGGATCATTTTGCTAATTAAAATGTAGATTTACGCCAAAAAACTGATTTCGTAATATCAAAATAAATGCCGGCAGCGTGTTTTTGTAATCCTAGCGATGTGCCAGTCCAGCTGCTATTTATCGATTATCTTATTATTTGCTATCAAAAACATCGATGATTCTTAGCGGAATGTTTAAAATATATAAATATAATATAAGCTATATTTTTCCAAAAACAAATATTTTATACCATAATTGATGAATAAACAAATTGAGTTTAGACTTTTTATTTGAAAATGTGTTGAAAACCTGGCTTAAGAGGAAGTAAAACTAATTTACTAATTATGGTAAACGAGTTTCAACATCTTAATAGTTAGACGTGGAGACTGCTCCTCGATCCTTTCGAGAGCATAGCCCTCATGAGTATTCATCATTTCGGGTAAGGCCTCTTTGGGATTGAGTGGCATTTCTAGCTTAACATGGTACTGGCATTGCTAATAAAGGATTAATAATCAAGAAATAGTAGATAAGGGAGTAAATGTTAAATCATCATTATTTAACCATATGGCACAACGCTTCATTAAGAGTATTATTATTAAGAGTAATATTAAAATATGGTGGCAGGAAAATGACATTCTTGTCCATTTCGTCGATGGCCACATCCGTATCAGACTCGATGCGTTGAAACTGTCCTTGGGGCATGTTACTAATTAATGTCTTGATTACTTTGTGTTGTTTATTTTAAGCTGTTGAATTAAATCTCAATTCAATATGTCAAGACCGGCACTCTAGCGATGTGCAAGATCAGCTGCGTTTTATCGATAATTATATGTTCTTCGATAACGGAGTATCTTCTTCTTGAGTGTTTTCCAAATTGTTTTTCTTTTTGTCAGAAATATTGAATAAAAGTCATGTCGCTGTTGCAAAAACTAAGCAAATCAGCGCTTCAGGTGAGCTCATTTGCTGGCCGCAGGCGGATGCCAGTGGCCTTGCGCTTGCTGAGTGGAGAAACGGAGAAAGGGCCGGCGGTGGAGACGGTGGCTCCCGTGGAGACTGCGACGGAGAGCAGCGGCAGCAAGGGAGGATTCGCTCGTGCTTTCGACAAGTATACGGCTCCTGCCACGCCTGAGCAGCCGCCGGAGGACAACCAGACCTTCGCCTCTTTGCTGAGGAACTCCAAGTTCGTGGATGTAAGTGGCGGCAGAGTATCCCCCATTTGGTTTATGTAATAATCTCTTAATTCCGGGAGCAGTTGGGCAGTGCTGAGGGCAAGGTGGTCAGTGGCAAGATATTCCATGTGGTGGGCGATGATCTCTACATAGACTTTGGGTGGAAGTTTCACTGCGTCTGCACTCGACCAGCTCGCAATGCCAGGTGAGAGATTACTCTTTACTCAAAGATAGAACACAATTCTTAGAGTTCTCATTTACCCGCAGCGACTATGTCAAGGGAGCGCGCGTCCGCCTGCGCGTCAAGGATCTGGAACTGTCCACCCGTTTCCTGGGCTCATCCAAGGATATTACTATTCTGGAGGCTGACTGCCAGCTGCTAGGCCTCCTGTCCTCGCCCACCCGCCAGTCGACAACCAGAACAGCGCCCAAGATGGAAGACATCCTTTAAATCATTTATTTTGTGCATTAAATCAAGGTTCGTTAATCGTTACGTCAGTTTTGCGTCCTGTTTTGTCGTAAACTGGAACACCTCGTAGTGGTGGTTCAGCTCTCGCACCGTGTGTAGTTGGAATCGCGTGACGAGGGCTCCGTTCTCGGAGGTCCTCAGAAAGAACACTCTTTTCGCTCGGCTGTGAACCAAGGCCATGGAGCACATAAGGCAGGGTTCTTGCAGAAGATACACATCGTAGCCGGTGCACAGGTAAGGTCCAAACTTGGCTAGGTTGTCGGCTCCTTGACCCTGCTGCTGCTGCTTTACTTCATCGGTTCTCCCCGTCTCCGCCCCGAATTCCAGGTGTTTGCAATCCTCGTCCTTGTTCAGGTATTCATAGTAGGCTGTGGGAATGCCTCGCAGTGTGGTTTTCGCTCCAGCTTCTGGGTCCTCGGCGAAGGTTAGGTCTGTTGCAGTGGCTCCTCCTTGCTGGCTCCGCGCAACATAATCCACTAGCAGCATGCTGCAGTGCTCGTGCGGACTTCGGGACGCTTCACCTCCAGCAATGGCAACGATGCTGGGTTGTCGTGGGTCCACACAGATACCCACTGGCCCACCGGCATTCACATCCCGCGAAAGCCTCACCAGCAGCTGGGCCACCCGCTTGTGAAATCGACGTTGCTCGGAGCTGAAGTTGCTGCCGTTTCGCAGGGACTCCGAGTAGTGGTTCGGGTGGAACTTGCAGGGCCAGTGCCGCAGTGTCTTCTCGTACTGCACCCGCAGTCGAGGCATGCGTTCTGGCACCTCGACCACCCGCACTTCCTGGCACAGCGCCCGGAGTACGTGTTCCGAGAAAGCAAAGCGTTGCAGGTGCTGCTCCAGGGTCTCCGATGCCTCGATATCGGAGCTGGGACAGATGAGCACACTGCGGTCGTGTACGCGCTTTAGATGATGGAAGTGTGGCAGCTTCTGGGACAACTCCTGGATCACCGCCTGCAGCTGCTGCTTCGTCTCCAACTGGCAGCTGTGCGCCTTTACCAGTTTTATATCCCGATCGAACTCATCGGACAGAATGGCCCGGATGCCGGTGATGTCCTCTTCCTCAACTGGGGTGAGGGATTGCCTCCGGGCACGTTTAATAGGAGGCGAAGCAGTTAAATCCATTTGTTATTATGTTTTATTTTCCAGCGGTGATGCCAACTCTTTTGAAGAAAGCTAGATAACAGCCAAAGTCCGAATAGTTAAAATATGTGTTTAAGTTTGTTTAAAACACTAACTATATAAATTATTTTACTGGTTGAAAAGTGAATATAACTGTTATTATAGTCCTTTTTATTTTTTCCCCCCATTTTTTAACCCTAAATAAATAAATAATCTTTATAAACAAACATTAAATGGAAACCACTTTCAAACAATCAATGAGTTTAGTTTGTAAAAAAAAGAAAGAATAATTAACGTAATTAAATATTAAAAAAGAGAAAATTTATAATGTGTTATGTTTTATTTACTAGTATTTATCATTTAGTTTGTATTTTCTTTGTGTTACAAGCTATATTTACTGCACAATACAAAAATAATGAGTATTTCTTTGATCTTTAAGTCCACACATTTTTTTTTTTTAAATTCATTATTTAACGAAAATTTTTTTACTTGTAATTTAAAATATCTCCAACGGTCGAAATTTTTTTAAGTATCATTTTTACTTTTTACACCTTAACGTTAACTTAATGTTGAAATTGGTTGAAAAAACGGCTAAATAAAGTAAACGGATGAGGTTTTCCTTAAAGACTTTCAAAAACCAAACCTTAATGATGTTTAAAGAAAGCGAAACATAGGACGAGATATGCGAACTTTTTACCTCCTCTCAGAGCCCTTTGCCCAAAATTGAAGTTTATTTCAAAATTTGTAATGTAATAAAAAAAAACAAACAAAAAATGTGTCTCAAGGGTTTTTGCGGCTACTTTTCCCTATACATTGGCTGCGTGATCGTCGGAGTGCTGGGCGTGATTGAGGCGGTGATGGTCCTTTCCGTGGCAATCTTCGAGATGGTGAGAAATCAAGAGAGTAATTTCTTCACCAAGGTGCTTGCGATGGTATTTGCCGTGGTCTTTGGCTTGGGCAGGATATGCCTGCTCTTCGGCACGATGTGGGTGAGTGTGGGATCTCGACCATACAGTTGCTGATTTTGTCTTAGGTCTTACTATAATTTTCCATTTGGCAGGACAGGTGCTGGGCCATCCTGCTGGCCTTCATCATTGGTCTCTTATCCTTCCTCCTGCTAATTGCTACGGTGTTTTTTTTATGCAGTGTGATGGGAAACCCTCTGTACTGGTTGTTCGGCGCCATCCTCATTTTATGTAGGTCAAATGTTCATGTTTGATTGATTTTTAATTTTATTGGTTTTTACCCCTTAGTTGAGGTGTACAATATGTGGCTCATAATCTCCACCTGGTGGTGCTGTCGGTCTTGCACACAGGACTGCTAAGATTAATTGTTTTAGTTTTTTTAAATTGTTTTAGCAACGTCGAAAAGTACTTTAGCAAGGACTCAAACCTTCGCTCGATGTTCGAAGCGAGCGCATTCGAGTTGGAACGAATGGTTGCTTATCGGACAGATACAAGATACTGTGGTGGCACCTTTGACGACCGCGGCGAAAATTCCGTTACCGCCTCAGATCTGTAAAGGCCTAAGCAACCCAATAATTAATTCTAAAAAAGTTGTGTGGACAATAAAATCACATTTTAATATTATTTACCGTTGGAATATCAATATGTACATATTCCTAAAAGGATTTTTGGTTCAAATCACCTAAAAACGAACAAATTTTTTTTTCTCTTTTAATTTCCCTAGATAACAATAATTTAATCGATATTTATTGGATTTTTGCATTTGATACAGCTATATAAATTACATTGCCAAAACTTTTTTTAGAATTAATTTTCGGTTACCAAGTGAGTGCGGTTTTGCGTTCCTACCGTTATTTTGTATGTATTAAAGACATCGTCAAAGAAAAATAGGTATATGGTCTAAATAATTGTCTGTTTATCATTCTAATTATCTGTAACTTAAACATTTATGAAGTTCTTACACCTATTATGTTTAGTAAAAAGATTAGTATGACAATTAATGTAAGCAATGGCACTTACACATGATTATAAAATTTAATTTTAATGAAATCCAAAACAGTTTAAAGGTAGTTTTCTTTTTTTAATGTGTTAGTATAGTCGAATTAGATTATTTATGTAGTTTTTTTAAATATATTTTAAGAGAGTTGTTTAGGATTTTTAGAAGTAGAACTTCTATTTTATCTTTCAGTTACGAACAGGTTTGATTGACATTAATATGAAATAATTATAGTATGTATTATAACATTTTAAGAAAAAATAATTCAACGAAAAGTTGATTGCCATTTTTCCTTATTTCTTCTTACGTTAAAAGTTTTTCATTCTACAAAGATGTGAGTAAAACATGTTATGTTCCTAATTACAGATTGCTTTAATGCAATACATTTTATAAATGCCAGATATAGCTTAAAGATAGCCAAACTGACAGCACTGACTGATTATTCAGCTGGGTTGGAAAACAAAACTCGTGGTGTGGCCGTGTTACTTGCTTACCAACAGCGATCGCGAACGAACGGTCTGTTCAGCGGCCAAGTTTGAATTTCGATTCGGTTGCTCTTCACTGGGACATAAATTAAAAGCTAGTTGGAAAGTGCATAAGCATAATTTTTAAATATGCCAGATATAGTCGGAAGTACGCTAAACTGGCCACACTGAGGCCAAGTGAATCCCCAATCGCGCAACTAACCAAGTCTATGTCGTTACCGGAGCGCTCGAGCTCCCCCAGCGCGTGAGCGTGTGTGTGTGCGTATCGACGTCGATCAAAAGAAAAGCAACAAGAGCGAGAGAGAGGCAAATAGAAATATATTAAAAAATATATATAAATAAGAAAAGTGTACCTGTGTGAGCCGCCTTGGCTGTGTTGTTGTTTTTGTTTCACTTGGCGCAATTAGAAGTAACGGTGCGAAGGTGATTTTGCACGAGAGAAACTGGAAAATCAGCGAGGCGCGATCATTAATTTCTGTGAATTTTCATTTTGGTTTTGTTTTCGTTTCGCAACAAGTGAGAAGCGCCATCCAAAGCCATCCATTTAATTCAATCAACGATCTGAGCGAGATCAACCTGAGGCCGCGTGTGTATCTCTGCTCAAGCGTTCTAAGCACAAACAAATGCTGAATACGAAAATAAACGAAAACACATCCAACGGATACAAGTTCGCGAGCCGGTTTAGTCATCAGCACAAGAAGCCGGGGAGCACAGCTTTGAGATACATTCACGCTCCTCAACAGCTGTTGTGGGCTGCAATGCCACCGCACCTGGATCCCCACATATTTGCCCTGCCTTGGAGCCCCGCGATAAGATATCGCTAAATACCAGCTAAAAAAATATAAAACAAAAATAAAAACGAAGGAAAACAACGCAGAACGACGGGAAAAATCGCACAGTGTTCTCCAGTGCCAGTGTTTAAAGTTAAATCGCGAGTTTATCTTATCGGCGGTCATTGATTGAGCTTTGCCTTTCCGCTCCCAGTCGGCGGTGAAGTCATTCCTTGAGATACAGTATCTACACGCTACGATATCTAATGCAGCAGCCATAAAGGCCAAAGCCAGTCGTCTCTATATTTAGACAGAGCCAAGAGCCGAGAGCCGGGGGAAAACCCAAGCCAACCAAACCAAAACCAAGACACTCGTAAATCAAGCCACTGGAGAGGACCAAGATGGACATAGAATCCGATTCGGACACCTCCGAGAGATGGGAGGACTTTTTTGGTAAGCGGGCGGGATCACTGAACTCCATCTTCGTGCAGAAATCCACTGACATGACTCAAAAGGCACCGAGAGAAATGTATCTGTTAGTTGCTTATCCTTCAGTCGGGGTAAAGTTTTCATAAATAGAATCATAGTTTTGTTTCGAAGATATTTGTGAGTTTCTTTCAAGAAAAGTTTATATTTTGACCGATAAGTTTTATTTTATTGTTCAATATTTTATAATATTGCTTTTGCTTAAAAGCTCACTGGTCTAGAGTGATTTTTTGTTATATTTTTATTACATCAACTGAACTTATTTTTGTAATTTAAACTATATTTTCTATGAATATTCTTTGGATGAATAACAATGAGCTATATAAAGAACGATCTCTAGGTAAATCTAATTTAATATATGCAGAAAGTGTAAAATAATGGTTTAGAAAAGTCAAGTTAGCCATGAAAGCTATAAGATTTTATCATGACTTTTATTACTGATTGAAACTCAGAAACTCAAAATTTATCAAATAATTTAATATCAGATTATATACAAATATTATATGATTCCTGATATCTAAAGGGCATCACATTCTGTATTCCGAAGCAGGGTTCCTTTTCTAAGGGCAACCAGGAACCATAATCATTTAAATACGAAGCTTATCCCATGTTAAAGTTAATAATTATTTCTATAAGAATAATTCTGGTAATGAAAAGGACTCACATATGACCTTAACCCAGCGTAATCGTTTACTTTCACGGAATGTGACAAGTGACACGATTTTAGCGAGAAAACCTTATCTCCAGTTGAGTTTCTTTCTGTGTCGCAAGATTCTACGCATTCCCAAAGAACTCCCGATATGGACATGCGTGCAAGAACTGACCAACGTTTTGCCTTTCTTTGGCTGGACTTGGACTGGACTTGGATTGCATTCGGTGGCTCCATTCCGTTCCCATAACTGTACAATAAGGGGGGAGAGCCGCAACAAAAATGAAATAAAATAAGAAATAAGGTAACAACCCACTGCTGAGTGGTGTGGCATTGCGTGAATTTTGCGGTGTAACGGGTTCGCTTTGTTTTTGCATTCCGCTTTGCCCGCAAAGTCCAAGTCTTTTGGCATTATTTAAGCGCTCGAAAAGTCGGCCGTAATGAAATTTAATGATAATACATAATTTCGGGCTTTTGACCCACATTACCATACAAGTGTGGCCCAAGAAAGGGTCGGTGTCCGTGTGTCGGGATTGGCAATTTATGCTTTGGGGCGGCGTCTCCTCCACGCGGTTTGCTGACCCACTTTAATTGTGACGATTCCGATTTGCCTCGGTCACAGAGACCTTTCAGTTCCATACTGGCTCCTCCCCACCCTCAGAGTCTGTTGTTGCATTTGTTTTCCTCCTCGCCGAAAGCTTTCATTCAATTAGTGCATTAGTCACAAAGCGTCATTCCGTCGAGCGTGTGTATCGGGTTTTTTTCGTTGACGTTCTTCATGATCATTGCATGTTCGCTAACAGCGTGCTGTTAGATAAGGCTACTGGACTCTGTTAGTTAATCCCAGATTAACTGGGGGTTAGATGCAACAAGTTAGCAAGTCATAGCGGCTATTAGATAAGGTTACTCTTAACTACCAGGCTATGGTGATTAACCCTATGTTAAAGCGCAGGTTAAATTTGAAGCTAAGATAAGAAAATTGGAAGAAAGTTATACAAGCCGTTAGATAAGGTTAGCTGGTTAGCTGCCAGGCTGCCAGGGTGGGTTAAATATGAAAAAGTGGGGAAAGTAATTCATAGTACAAGCTGTTAGATAAGGTTGTCCTTAAAGGTAGAAGCGGAGGTTAGATTTGAAAAGTAAAAACGGCATATATCAGTAGAAGTCATTGTTAGTTAACTCTAGGTTAAAGAAAGCGTTAGATAGGAAAAATAAAGAAAGCTATATACCAAGCTGTTAAATAAAGTAAAGCTATTAGTAACAGCAGCGTTAATATAAGATTAGTTACTTAATTAGCCCTGTTGAAAATCAGGGTTAAATGTATTAAGAAAGAGAGTCAAAGCTATATGATAAGGTTGCTCTTATGAACCGATCTTTGTTACTTAACGTCAGTTCAAAGAAGGGGTTAAATTCAACAAGTTAAAAAAACTAAAGTAATAAATGTACAATTGTACATAAAGCGTAAGGCATTAAATTTTAATATATAATTATTTTTATCAGTCCTTATATCATTATTTTAATTAATAAACGCTAAATAAAAATATCGATAATAATAAAAGCATTTAGAAAAATAAATAAACCAACAAATTATATTTATAGAACAAAAAAAAAACAATGAAATATAGTAATTGCCTGAATAATAATCACCAGAAAATGTATTTTTATAGATTTTCATTCATGTTTTACCGATGACTTACAACAACACGCGTTGTATGATTGATTACAAATGTATAGTAAAACCAGTAGAAGCCAGTACAACCCATTGCCACCCAGCTAGGGGCCTTTGCGATATCAATTATAGAGCTACTTGATGAGTAGTCTCTCGTTTCGGTCTCAATGAATCATATTGTGAGATTGTCCGGGGCAGTAACCAGGCAATAAAGGGTTGGTTTTTCCGATCCTCCCCAGCTTAAGGGGCCAAATACAGAAAGCCCTCCCAGAGCAAGAGATAAAGACTTGGTTGCGAGTGGCTGACATTTGAAGACGACCACCGAACGTGACTCCATTCGGGGGGCCTGCTGCAGGTCCAGATTGCATCGGGACCTATAAATAGAACCGCCGAAAGATATCGCCGGCAGTTGACCGCATGGCCTATCAAATGTCACCAGTGTCTTCAGTTTCCCCGGGTTTTCCTTTTCACATTCTGCCTCATGTTTGCCAGTTCAATTTTCCCCTCGACAAACAAACAAAACGGAGGAGAGAGAGATATTTTCGGTTTGTTGGCTGTGGACACAAGTGTATAGTGTATAGTATAGTGTGTTCAGGTCAAGTCGGTGGATTATTACCTCTCATAACTGGGGAGTGGAGTGCGGAGAAGTGGAGTGGGGGCACAACCACAGACACCACGGGAGTCGGAGTCTTCTCGGCTCATTCGATACTGTCGCCGATTGTGATCTGAAGAAACCTTTCTGGCCTTTCTGCGGTTGCGTTGCCCTTTTTGTCGTTTGTGACATTTATTCGACGACGACTGGCCTGCGTTTCATATTTTGTTTATTCAACAAATACTAATAGATATAGATATCGATGGACGAGGAACTAAGGAGTTGATAAGATTGCCCCGCAGCTATTTATTGACTCTCTGATAATGCCGACAAGGCCAGAAGTTATGTACTAGCCATGGGCACAGTCATAGGCATAGGCAGTGTACTCACAATTGAAATTCCAAAAATGTTAAGAGGTCAGTTTCGCACTGCTCCACTTCCGCTGCCGACGAAGGGCAGAAGGTCTCCTCTTAATTAAGGCAATTTACAAAGTTCAGGGAATTAACCGCTGGCGATGAAGAGTTTTGTTTCATAATCGGTCAGTGGGTTCATTGGCCAATTGAATGTTAATGCCATTACCTCATCCAGGCTTTGGGGTGTCAACAAGAAAATAGCTGTCAAGCTGAAACGTTAGAGTTGAAAATGAAATAATGCTTGAAAACTCTTATAGAATTGATAAATACTTTGTGGGATTCATAGCTTTAAAGTTGGCTTAAGCTTCACCTACAGCCAGAGTCGAGTTTGGCGATATTGCAACCTGGCCATAAGTCTTGCCCCTCTAATTGCCTAACCCCCAGCTCCAGACTAAGCCAGACTGTTGTATTTTGGAGTTGGAGTTGAAGCTGGAAACGGAGTTGAAGTTGAAGCCCAAGTCATATCCCAGAACCAGACCAGACCTGAAGTGATCTGTGTGTGGGCTGGCTGTCTGACGGCTGTCGACGTCCATGGAACTTCTCTCAGCAGCGGCAGCAGCAGCAGAACGTGGCCCTCGACGGTTCTCTAATTGCATTTCTCTCAGTGCAATGACTGCCATTGTGGGCGTTGCAGAAGGTCGTAAAACCTGGGTATTGTGCACGCACGTCCCGAAAGCTTTTTCTCAATGGAGTTTCAGGCTGTCTAGCCACATATACTCTCAACCCTAATTTTGGGAGTTTGAAAATTAGATAATAAATGTTTGTCATAAACTAATAGAAAAGAGGTTAATAGATAACAAGCATTTTATGGAATCATATTAGTAAACATAAATAAAATAAAATTTAAAAAGGTATAAAACCCTTGTAATTAATTGTTTAAACCATGAATTAGAGTTTCATTATATCTACATTTAACTATTTATCACATTTTTGTGACAACTCTGTTGGAAAGTTACTAATTCGTCGCTCTTCTAAAAAGTACTTAAGGAATTTAATTAAAAAAAAATTGTTCTTAAAAGGGTATTCAGTCCTCGGTGCCCAGGAGGAGTGCTTTAAGGAGCCTGGCACATTTTTCGTTCTTTTTATGCGCCGCTGTTGGGTCTGCGCCGGCCTTAATGAACGCTCTTGCGACTCGGCATCGGCATCCATCCCGCTCACAATTCTATTTGGCAGCAGATTTACAACTTCCTTGCCAAAATGCCATTTGCTTTGGCAATTTACGCCCACCGCTGGCGGGATAAGCGGGCTAAGAGGAGTACTATGCATGGGCACCTCTGACATGCACTTAAGCCGCTTAGAACCCACATGTGAGTGAATGCTATGAGTGTGTGTTTGAGTTACTCGCATTTCGGGTATCGATAGGCCCGGCACGATCGTGACTCATGAGTGTTAATCGAGGAAAGAGAGTGACGGTTGAGCTTGTGAACAACAGTTATGTTATCAAGCTTCATTTCTAGTGAAAGTCATCGCTCTTGTCACTGCACTCGCGCTCTCTCTCTCTCACACTCTCTTACTCTGACGTTTCTCCCACCTTCTTTCCATTCCATTTCACTGATCAGGCACGCATGCGCAGTCCCCCCTCTTGCTGCAGTGAAATGCATTGGAGAATCTTTCACGCTTGGAGACTTTGCCCTCTGTTTCCATCTC